AAATACCTGGTTTGAATAGAAGCCTGTTGTGAATAGAAGCCTAGCCCTTACATCGGCTTCTACAGGAATACGCCAGGCTTTATTACGCGACATTACGGTATATGGCAAACTTCACGTGATTGCAGCTGAGTGAAACCGGTCTCAAATTCGAGAGCTAATGATTGCGAATCCAGTAAATCCTGCCCCAGAGGACCAGTCTGAAAAAGGCAAGCGCCTGCATGTATTCGAGGAGACCACTATGATCGCGACTGAGCCGTTCTTTTTCTTGTTTGTAGTCATTTGAAGCAGAGTGCGGAGGCCGTCCGACAATCTGAAAAAGGCAAGCGCCTGCATGTATTCGAGGAGACCACTATGATCGCGACTGAAGCGTTCTTTTTCTTGTTTGTAGTCATTTGAAGCAGAGTGCGGAGGCCGTCCGACGTGTCTGTAGGCAACCTGGACGTCACAGAAAGTGACGATGTGAGTCATGCTTCTCTATGCATGGATATAATTATTTATGTTTAGGAAAAAGAGTTCTCAGTGGCCGGCCATCATCAGCATTGTGCGTGTAACTGCTTGGTGTTGTCTGTTTTGCCCTGCCTTTTGTGTCCAGTCTGACTTGTTCAAGATCGACAATGCTGAGTTCTCCGTTGAGAAGACCATGGCGTCGTTGAGTGACCTAAACAAGCACTCCAAGGCCACCGCCATCACCCCAGACAGTAACAATAGTGACGTTGGCAGGATCAGTACCAGCGTCCAGCGGTGACAACAGCAGCAGCAGTAGCAGCAGTGATGACGTTAGCAACAGCATTAGCAGCAGTGATGACATCAGCAGCTGTAGTAGCAGCAGTCACTATGGCAACCACAGTCACGGCGGCTGTGATGATGCGGGTAGCAGCAGTCACTACGGCAACCGCAGTCATGGCGGCTGTGATTATGTTGGTAGCAGCAGTCACTATGGCAACCGCAGTCACGGCGGCTGTGATGATGTGGGTAGCAGCAGGCCCATGGCAGTAGTAATGGCAGCGATACCAGTGCTCAGTACGCAGTAGTGGATGTGAGGATACCACCAGCAGAACCAGCAGTAATGCCATAACACCAGCAGAACCAGCAGTAATGCCATAACACCAGCAGGACCAGCAGTGATGCCATAACACCAGCAGGACCAGCAGTGACGATAACACCAGCAGGACCATCAGCGGGAATACCACCAGCAGGGCCAGCTATGTTTGCAGGAGGAGCAGCAGCAGCACCAGGAGCAGTAGCAGCACCAGGAGCAGTAACTGCACCAGCAGCAGTAGCAGCACCAGCAGCAGTAGCAGCACCAGCAGCAGTAGCAGCGCCAGCAGCAGTAACTGCACCAGGAGCAGTAGCAGCACCAGGAGCAGTAGCAGCACCAGGAGCAGTAGCAGTGGTTACGACAACTGCAGTGGCATTGGTGACGAGAGCAAGAGAAGTCCCAGTGACGACAATAGCAAGAAAAGTAACGAATATGACGAGGGAAACAGCAGTGCCCCAACAACGGTCAGGGTGGCAACAGCTGTAGCAGCAGTGATGGCAGAAACAGTGGTCAACGATGATATTAGCAACATCAGTAACCGTGACGATGTTGCCAAGATCAATAGCAGCGCTGCGGACGGCAATAGTGACATGGTGATGGTGCCTGACTAGTGAAGCCTGAACAAGGTCTGGAGTTCAAAAAAGACTCTCTCTCTCCATCTCTCTCTCTCTCTCCATCTCTCTCTCTCTCTCTCTCTCTCTCCCCTCTCTCACTCTCTCTCCCTCTCTCTCTCTCTCCCTCTCCCTCTCTCTCTCCCTCTCCCTCTTCCTCTTCCTCTCTCTCCATCTCTCTCTCTCTCTCCCCTCTCTCACTCTCTCTCACTCTCTCTCTCTCTCTCTCTCTCTCTCTCTCTCTCTCTCTCTCTCTCTCTCTCTCTCTCTCTCTCTCTCTCCCTCTCTCTCTCCCTCTCCCTCTTCCTCTTCCTCTCTCTCTCTCCCTCTCTCTCTCCCTCTCCCTCTTCCTCTTCCTCTCTCTCTCTCTCTCTCTCTGTCTCTCTCTCTCTCTCTCTCTCTCTCTCTCTCTCTCTCTCTCTCTCTCTCTCTCTCTCTCTCTCTCTCTCTCTCTCTCTCTCTCCCCTCAGCTATAGTGTAACAGCTATACATACAGCATAGTGATCTAGTATAGTATGTAGTTCTGTGTGACACTGTATAAGGAAGTGGAGATGATGTGACAGCTAAGCTGGGACTTCTCCACTGCTGGCACATTCCACAGATACATAGTCATTGTGTGGTCCCAACCATTGCAAGTCGTCCGCCTGCTCTATTCCGCGTCCTTTCCTTCAAAATCCATTGGTCGGGTTGTGTTTGATGTACTTGCAAACGAATCTTCGTCATGGTCTGCTGTTGGCTGTGGTAGATCTATGGCAGTGAAGGAAGATTCGTCATCATCAATGGCTTGGCTGCAGTATACCCAATCAAACATTTGTGCACGACCGTGTTGCGTGCACGAGCTTGCACGAATTGACGACCATGCAATTGCACAAATCGACGACCATACGATGGCATGAATCGATGACTGTGTACGATTGCGTGAGTTCACGACCATACGATTGCATGAATCGATGACTTTATACCATAGTGTGAATTGACGACCGTACGATGGCATGAACCGATGACTGTATAGTGTATATCAGGAATCGATGACGGTATGCGATTGCATGAATCGATGACGGTATGCGATTGCATGAATCGATGACGGTATGCGATTGCGTGAATCGCAGACCATACAATGGCATGAATCGACGACCATACGACTGCACGAATCGACGAACATACGGTGGCATGAATTGACGGTCATATGATAGCATGGATCGACGACCATACGCTTGCATGGATCGACAACCATACGATAACGTGAATCGCCGACCAGTATAAGAGAAAATCTGTGGGTGCACATCCAGTGCATTTGCAGATTTGCGTGCTTCTCTTGAGACGGGCGTATACATGATACATGGTATGTGTGTTCGACTGTGACCCATGTATGTACCCATGTATGTACAATGTATACGATCATAATAAATCTGTACATCTGCGGACCTGGTGTTTGTACCAGTCAGCTGCTCCCTCATTTGACCCCCCCCCCCCCCCCCGAGTGCCCTCCGTAATAATTTACTAATAAACACAGCGAGCTTTGCATCGGGGCAGACTGTACGCGAGGTAGGCGGCCCAGACAGATTCTCAGGCTCCGCTTGCCTCGATATTTTGCTGCGAAATCTTCGATATTTTGCCGAGCCTGGCACTAGAAACCTGCAGCCCGACATGTTGCTCCACTGGGAGTTTTGCTCCGGAAAACCGTATTTTTTATCCACCGATCCCGTATAACGTTTCACGTTGCCTGATGATCGTAGTAATACCAAGAGTTTATAACCCCCCAAGGCCTTAAGGGTGTGCAACTCCTGATACCCTTTCTATGGGGTACCAGGCTCCGACGGCGAAAACTCACATCGTGACGTGGTGCAGTGTCGCAGGTGTAGGTTTCAAGCCCGATTTTAGCGAGCAGCGGAGTAATAAAAAAAAGACTCGGCCTCCGAGAAACTCGCTGCGGGTATGCAAATCCCCAGCATGATCATGGCAGATATTCGGATTGCGAGCACGCTATACAGTGCAGTGCGTACTGTGTAGTACGAACGTAAATGAGACACGTGATGTGAGTTTTCGCCGTTGGAGACCCCATATGCAGAGTTGCACAGTCACTCTGGGGTGGGGGGTTATAATCATGATAATAGTTAATACTCTTGCTTGAGTCTTGGTAACACGTGAAACTCAGCGTTGCGACAAAGCTTACTCTCTAGCTCTCTTGTGTAACGTTTCATAAAAATCGCAGGGTCGGTTTCAGGCAACACGGGTTTTATACATGACACATTGTGTCCCTGGGTTCTTCCAAAATCATATCGATCCTCAGTGAAGTTAGTTGTTTCTTACCCGTTCAGCATGATACACTGCCAGGACGAGATCATGTCCACGAATTATTATCACTGGGATTCACTGTGGATCGATATGATTTTGGAAGAAACAAGGTACATGTACTATACTACTAGTAATCCGTATCAGGCATCGATTTTACCAAGAGTACAGTCATTTTTGGTTATGTACTCTTGATTTTACCAAGAGTACCTGACAACCAGCTACCAGCTTTCGATTTTACCAAGACTAAAAAGGCAAGAGTACGAACTCGTACGTACTCTTGATTTTACCAAACATCTCGGCGCCGCGGCCGACCCATTCGCGCTTTTTGCCGAGTAATTTTGGGGCGCCATGCGTACGGAAACGCGCCGAAATGGAAATTCCAACATGTTGGAAGTTTCAGCGCGTATCAGGCGCGTATCACTACATGCCAGTCACTTTCACTGGCAGGGTCAAAGATTAGTACTCGAAAGTGTCGCACGCGCTAAATACGACTCGGATTGCTGTTTTTTGTGTGTTCGACTGTGACCCATGTCGTAAAATATTTTACTACTCCCTGGTATACCGTACAGCCCCTATAAACTCGAAAATAAAAATTTCAACCCGGATATCAAGCGCAATATGCGTCATTTTTTTAAACGCGCCATTCATTTTGTGCCTTTCACAAAAAACAGCAATCCGAGTCGTATTTAGCGCGTGCGACACTTTCGAGTACTAATCTTTGACCCTGCCAGTGAAAGTGACTGGCATGTATATGTAGTGATACGCGCCTGATACGCGCTGAAACTATATCCAACATGTTGGAATTTCCATTTCGGCGCGTTTCCGTACGCATGGCGCCCCAAAATTTTTACTCGGCAAAAAGCGCGAATGGGTCGGCCGCGGCGCCGAGATGTTTGGTAAAATCAAGAGTACGAGTACGTAGACTACGAGTTCGTACTCTTGCCTTTTTAGTCTTGGCAAAATCGAAAGCTGCTAGCTGGTTGTCAGGTGTATTTTACTACTCCCTGATCCCTACAGTCCATTCAGAAAAGATGAGCGCTGCTGGCTGGCTCTGGAGACTGGAGAGCTCCCGTGTTTGGCGATTTTGTGTTTGTGCAGTGCCGCGCGATTCGAAACTTGAAAAAGGGTCCAAAAAAGGCACCTCAACTGGCAGTGTGTGGGGTTCGAACCGCAAATGTACTGTAATGCAAGTGGAGTGAACGGCCTGGATTTTCATGGTTTTTACCCAATTTAGTGCTTTGGGGGCAAAACCTGGCCAAAATCCTTTTCTTGTTATGGCTTGCTTTTTGGAGAAATAGACTTCAAAAACACAATTGGAAGAGCATTCCATGGGGGATTGCCCAAAAATTGTGACGAAAACTCAAAATTTGACCCGTTTATGGCCAAAAGCTACACACTGTAGGGTACCATCTTTTTCTGAATGTAGCTCAGCTCAGTCAATAATATTCCCTCCGTGACATCAACGGACGGCATGCCACAGTGACGTCATGACAATTTGAGACCTCGTTTGCGCGCATCATACAGTTTTCCGATCCACGGCGCGGATCGGAGCGCGATTTTCCCCTGTTTCCCCTGGTTTTGCATGCGCCGTTGGCGTGGACCTGCAAATCCCGCGGCCCGGTCGACCGCAAAACTAGAACCTCTGGCAATGCATGACTGGCATGATGGCGCACATGACTCGGGTCATGAGTGAGAAAACTTGAGGCCCGGATCGCGGTCTAGCTCTAGCTGTTGGCTGTAGAACTACACTGTAGTGTAGAAGTGTCGGGTCTGGTCGCATGTAGTGCATGCAGTGGTGGAAGTGCAGGCAAAATCTCTGCACAACTTCTGCACTGACCTGCTCCCTGGTTGATCCGACACAACTGCAACCTGGTCAAGAAGAAGCTTGTCCACAGGGTTTGTTGCTGTTGTCCAACGCTGCACGCACTGCCCATGGCGTGTTGACCGAATGCGGATTTGTGGAGTCTTGCCAGCTCTCCGTTCAGTATCACACTGCTTTGGGGGTTTAGGAGAGAGGCATAGAACAGCCCTATTCCGGAGTGTTGTGGTCCAGTTTTGCCATCGGAAAACTCCTGACTGTGAATTCTTGGATCTAGGTGCAGTTCGGCCGAAAGTGGAGAAACGCCAGCTGGCGTACATATGTTTGCTGAACTCACATAGGTGTTTGCTGCTTCGACCAGCCTACCATGGCGTTCGTGGTCGCCCTCTTCGACTATGGAGAGGGGGCAGCTTTTGGCACCCCGTTCAGGGAGGGCGATGTGTTCCGGCTGATCGAGAAATCCAATGAGGAGTGGTGGAAAGTTGAGAGAAAGGATAAGAAAATTATGTACGTGCCGAAGAAGTTTGTGGAAGTGAGGGACTTGTCATCGCTGCCAGGATCCCCGAGAGATATCCGTAGCAGGGCTAGGGATGATTCTCCTTCCAACAAATTGATGCGAACTCAGACTCAGCTAGGTAAGTCGTTGAGGCAAACACGACCGTTTAGATGTTTGGCTCCCTTGTTGCTCCATTGCACATCATCCTTGAGCAGGAAAGGCGATGGGACCCTCGTCTACCCCTTGTTTTCTGTTAGTTTGACCAACCCACCAACGTGTTCACATGTTATGCCAGTTTGAAATCGTGTCTCAGATCCACTTCCTGTCAATTGTTCATGTATTCAAGTTACTGTAGCTTCGTGTCTATAGTATAGAGGTCAGTTGGAAGATCGGAGCACTCCACCGCCCTAGGTGTATTGTTATTCTGGCTGGCAATGACTTATCATGACCGGACACACCATGCATGTAACGTGACAGCCAAGAGAGGGAGAGAGGGAGAGAGGGAGGGAGGAGAGAGAGAGAGAGAGGGAGGGGAGAGGGAGAGAGAGAGAGAGAGAGAGAGAGAGAGAGAGAGAGAGAGAGAGAGAGAGAGAGAGAGAGTTGTATCTCTGCGCATTCTTTTCATCGAACACCTCAAACACACCTGTACACCGATGACTCGAAAGAAGACGTAACGCGAAATTCAAACCAGAGTTCCACAGTCGGGCAAAGAAATCCGAATGAGGGTTTGAACGGGAAAAGAAAAGTAGAACACAGTTGCTGTGAATGGGCACGTACGGCATAGCCGTTTTCTCACGCATTGCAAGGGGGGGGGGGGCATAGGGTTACTTCACCCATACTTTATTGGACTTCAGAATATGAACATAATTCAAAGAAGAAGAAAAGAGGACCAATGAGCTACAATTTATGCTATAATATCCACTATTCACCCAGTTACTTTACAAGAAATTAATCCTTGGCTCTCCACCCGAATATAATTATTATAATCCAAAATAGAATGTAAATATAAAAGTCCAATGCAAAGTTGCAACCGCAGCATTGCACGCCAGTTCTCATTACATCACCAGACCGCATGAGTACACACCGCCGAATGCACTGCAGCCTGGTAGGGGTTTTGCATGTGCCCGGCAAGGTTCAAGCAACTTACGTGCAGGGCTTCTTGGGCCATGTTTCACCTCGTCTACTCAAAGTTATCCACTGTTTTCATGTGGTGTGGTGCCGAGGAGCGTTTTCCTCCGGCATTCGGTCTGGGTCATTTTCTACAGGTAACACGGACACCCTATTGGGCAGGTTGCTATGGAAACACTATATCTCTTTGAATTTTAATAGAAACAAAACGTACCCTCTATTGTAGTTGCTGTTCACTGCAATCCTCCCTCGAATACCGTATTTTCCGGAGTATAGTGCGCACCTTTGTATAACGCGCACCCCGAATCTTCATTGGGGGTGCGCACTTCAATCTTCATTGAAGTACATGCATTTCATATTCGGAGCATAGTGCGCACCTGCGATTTAGGGCCTAAAATAGCACATCTAAAGTGCGCACTATACTCCGGAAAATACAGTACCTTTCCAAGGTTGTCATTACTGTTCAGATAAAAAAAGTTTGATGCAGTTGTGACAAGTCCACAAACCACAGTTGTGCTAGAAAATCTAGAACAACGATACACAATCACATGTACGTGTGTGCATGTATGCATTTTTCAAGGTATCCAATCGCGTATGTTGATGAATTTTCTCATCCATGTTACCCGTGAGGTCCAGAGGTAATGGGGCCGTCCGTAGATATCGAAGTTTTTCCACCAAACAAATTATTTTAGTTTCGACCGAACCCCTCCCTTCCCGGCCCTCAGAACGTAATATTTTTGACATACTGGTACATGCATAGACATGTACTGTATTGGACATGGCAATCCCGTCGCACGTCTAGCGGCCCCAGGGCGCTGGCCATGCAGCCGTGGATAAGCAGTACACACACGTACATCGTCATGCATTTACGCGCTGCAGCGCGCTGGTCGCATCGGATCACCAGATCACCACGTGCACTGCACGCAGCGTTCTGTACGCGCTGAGCTGAGGGCGCCCGCCCCGGTCAATCGGATGGATTTCCATGTCCGCTACAGTACAACACAATTTGCAAGTGTGTCACTGCTCCAACGGCCATGTACACGCATCAATGTTTTCTGAAACGAAATTGAAATTGGTCAACCCCCTCCCAATCCATAACGAAATTTTTCGTTTTGTGAAAAAAAAGTTCGATAATTATGGACGACCCGCTAACATGGGTACCCGGCTACAAGTATCTGTGCACATCCCTATCGTATGCAGTGATGATGACTGTAGAGTCGATATATCACTACTCCCAGTGCAGTTAGCACCCACTACAGTGCTACTCAATGAAATCCAGTCGCACCACTCAAGTGTGCGCTATGCGCCATTTCGCAGCCCAGTGTTCGCAGGTCTAGGGCTGGGCAACGCGCGGCGCATACTGGAGTGACGTGACTGGATTTCATTTTGCAGCGCTGTACGTACGGCACGGTACAGCAAACACGCACGGTGCATTCTGGTGTGTGCTATTTGACCCTGCACGCGCTCTGATGTTGCCGAGCGCCCAAGACTACAGTCATGACATGGCAATACACTGTATAGGCGTTCCTGGCCAAGGGAGTCTTCACGAGTTGACCATTCGTTTGCCGATCCCGTGTTCACAGCTAACCCTGCTGTCACGTGCATCAACATCAACGTTTTCAACTCTTTTTCGCACCACGTTTGTGTCTGGTGATAAAACAAGCAAGTCAAGTTGGCGATGCTGGTGGTGTTGTTGGTATCTTTTCGACTATTGTTCTGTTTATAGCTCTGTCATTTACTGTTGTTGTGGTTCTTGTTGTTGTTGTTGTTGTTGTTGTTGTTGTTGTTGTTGTTGTTGTTGTTGTTGTTGTTGTTGTTGTTGTTGTTGTTGTTGTTGTTGTTGTTGTCATTGTCATTGTACAATGTAGCTATGACAGCCAGCTCCGGTGTCCGGTCGAAGAGTGCGGTAAGGGTGAGTCTTGTATAGAGATGACTGTGTGTGTATGTGCGCGTGTGCATGTCTATGTGCGTGTGTGTGCATGTCTGTGTGCGTGTGTGTGCATGTCTGTGTGCGTGTGTGCATGTCTGTGTGCATGTGTATGCATGTCTGTGTGCGTGTGTGTGCATGTCTGTGTGCGTGTGTGTGCATGTCTGTGTGCGTGTGTGTGCTTGTCTGTGTGCGTGTGTGTGCATGTCTGTGTGTGTGTGTGTGCATGTCTGTGTGCGTGTGTGCATGTCTGTGTGCATGTCTGTGTGCATGTCTGTGTGCGTGTGTGTGCATGTCTGTGTGCGTGTGTGTGCATGTCTGTGTGCGTGTGTGTGCATCTGTCCACGCGGGGTGTGCCCATACGTATGTGCCTGCCCTGGGTATGTGCTCGTGTGTTCCCCTGTAATCTGGTCTCACTGTGTGCAACTGGTACTTGCCAACTAGGGCGCGCAGCCGCGCACAGGTGTCCATCTGGGCTTAGGTTACGTCTGCTGGCATTCATACTTCGCATTTGTGTGTGTGTGTGTGTGTGTATTTATGTGTATTTATGTGTATTTGTGTGCATGTGTGTGTGTGGGGGGGGGGGGGCTGTGTGTGTATATGTGTGTATATATGTGTGTGTGTGTGTGTGTGTGTGTGTGTGTGTGTGTGTGTGTGTGTGTGTGTGTGTGTGTGTGTGTGTGTGTGTGTGTGTGTGTGTGTGGATAGTGTTGGGCCTGTTGCCAACGGGCTCGGCTGCTTGAAGGTGTATTGTTGTACCTACCACCTTTGTTGGTTTCAGGGTTCATATACTTTCTATGTGAAGTATACATACCTGTTAACCATGGACTGCTTCTGGCTAGATTAACTCTTGTGTAATCAATGGTGCTAGTGAAGCTTATATCAGATTCACTCTGATTTAGCCACCCACACTACCAAGCACCTGCAGTTGGATCCCGGGACGGATACCCTGATGCCGTCAATCCTTTTTCTGCACCTTGTCCTCACCTACTTACTGAGGTGTGGTGAGCCCATAAGTGGGATCATTTCAAGTCCACCCTAGTTTGGGGATTTCAGGGGGTGTCGGCCGTTGGGTGGTTCAATGGCCAATTGAGTCATCTTTCCAAGATTCCTTTTGAGTCTCTCTCCCCTCTCCCGGGGATACCCACGTGACCCGTTTTGGCAGTGAGCAAGTACAAGTGTGTGTGTGTGTGTGCATGTTTGTGCATGTGGGTGCACATGCGTGCGCATGTGGATGAGTGTGCATGCCTCTATGTGTGTGTGTGAATGTGTTTGCATGTGCATGCATGAACATGTCAATAATGATAATGAATGTTGGCGCAATGCGTGTCTGCTGCATTTCTGGCTTATCGCTTATTGTGTCCACCAGTCGGACGACAGCCCGTCGCTGCCCCCACGTCGCTTCACCGTCAGCCATAGCGACTCTCCAACCAAGAAGTCACACAGCGTCACCACCGACCCATGCCTTACCGTGGACGACTCTCTCGACTTTCTGCACAAGCGTGCGGTGGACGCGTGCTCGCGCAACTCCCTGGTCAGTATCCGTGTGTTCTAGTGTACACAAGTGCATTGAACTCACTCACACGACTCCCTGGTCAGTATCCGTGTGTTCTAGTGCATACGAGTGCATTGAACTCACTCACACAACTCCCTGGTCAGCATCCGTGTGTTCTAGTGTACACAAGTGCATTGAACTTACTCACATGACTCCCTGGTCAGTATCCGTGTGTTCTAGTGTACACAACGGCATTGAACTCACTCACATGACTCCCTGGTCAGTATCCGTGTGTTCTAGTGCACACCAGTGCATTGTACTCACTCACACACCTCCCTGGTCAGTATCCGTGTGTTCTAGTGCACACCAGTGCATTGACTGACTCACACAACTCCCTGGTCAGTATCCGTGTGTTCTAGTGCATACGAGTGCATTGAACTCACTCACACAACTCCCTGGTCAGCATCCGTGTGTTCTAGTGTACACAAGTGCATTGAACTTACTCACATGACTCCCTGGTCAGTATCCGTGTGTTCTAGTGCATACAAGTGCATTGAACTCACTCACATGACTCCCTGGTCAGTATCCGTGTGTTCTAGTGCATACGAGTGCATTGAACTCACTCACACAACTCCCTGGTCAGCATCCGTGTGTTCTAGTGTACACAAGTGCATTGAACTCACTCACATGACTCCCTGGTCAGTATCCGTGTGTTCTAGTGCACACCAGTGCATTGTACTCACTCACACACCTCCCTGGTCAGTATCCGTGTGTTCTAGTGCACACCAGTGCATTGAACTCACTCACACAACTCCCTGGTCAGTATCCGTGTGTTCTAGTGCACACCAGTGCATTGACTGACTCACACATCTCCCTGGTCAGCATCCGTGTGTTCTAGTGCATGCGAGTGCATTGACTGACTCACACAACTCCCTGGTCAGTATCCGTGTGTTCTAGTGGATACGAGTGCATTGAACTCACTCACACATCTCCCTGGTCAGTATCCGTGTGTTCTAGTGCATACGAGTGCATTGAACTCACTCACACAACTCCCTGGTCAGTATCCGTGTGTTCTAGTGCATACGAGTGCATTGAACTCACTCACACAACTCCCTGGTCAGTATCCGTGTGTTCTAGTGCATACGAGTGCATTGAACTCACTCACACAACTCCCTGGTCAGTATCCGTGTGTTCTAGTGCATACGAGTGCATTGAACTCACTCACACAACTCCCTGGTCAGTATCCGTGTGTTCTAGTGCACACAAGTGTATTGTACTCACTCACAACTCGTGCCGTCGATCGTATACACACACATGCAGTGTACTCTCTCGTACCACTTCATTACTTTATTTTCAGGTATTGCTTGCGCTGACTTTCTCTGTAAAGATATTGCCATCGTCGGACGAGTCTCATCCTGTCCTTGATTGGTGTTGCCTGTATGCGCTCGTGTGTGTGTGTGTGTGTGTGTGTGTGTGTGTGTGTGTGTGTGTGTGTGTGTGTGTGTGTGTGTGTGTGTGTGTGTGCATTCGAATGTATGTTCGCTCCCCGTGCATGCTTGGCTTTCAGATTCTTGCCATGCCGCTTCATAAAAAGAATGTCGCATTGCCCGGTGGAAAAAAGTAAGTGTTGACCAAAGCATTAATGTACATTGTTGTTGTTGTTGTTGTTGTTGTTGTTGTTGTTGTTGTTGTTGTTGTTGTTGTTGTTGTTGTTGTTGTTGTGGTTGTGGTTGTTGTTGTTGTGGTTGTGGTTGTTGTTGTTGTTGTTGTTGTTGTTGTTTCTTTATTTTAATTCACCATAAGACTGCCTTCTCATCAGGGTTATTGGCCCACGGCTCTCACAATATGATGAAACATTGCCAGGCACTGTAAATAGCATAGGTAGTTGCATTGAAAAGGGAGAAGTCTGAAGAAAATATTGACGGTCACCACTGTCGTCTCTGCAAAGACACCTGCACGCACATGCACAGTACATGCGTTGTAGTATGCAGTACACGGATGATGTTGACGTAGAAGCATGTTTTGAAAAGAAGTCTAACTTGAATAGAAGCATGGTTTGAACCCCGGCTTACACGGCCGTAAGCACCTGCTTTTATACGCGACATTTACGGTATTCTACAAGCAACACTAAGGGCGCGTTTGGTTTGTACGAACTAGAACAGGATTCACCAGAACAGCGCGTTTGGTTGGGACTGCACCTGTTCTGGGTCGGCCAGAACATGTTCTGCTTGCTCCGGCCTTGAGGCCGGAGCAGACCGAGCAGTTTCACTTTTTCACAGTGAAACCTGGCGGGAACATCGATTTTGGTCCCAAATGATCACGTGCATACGCTTTTTGGTTGGACTCGTCGTACCGTACAAAGTGACCATGGTGACCCATACACATTTTGAAGAATGCACCAAGTTTGGCACATTTTTCCCCAAAAATGTGCTCTGTTTCTGGAGTACCGTTTGGTTGGCATGAGGCTGCTCCATGTGCACCAGCTGTTCGATCCTGTTCTAGATCGTACCAACCAAACGCACCCTAAGAGCAGGCAACTTTTGGCCTTGAGCAGTTGCGCAAGTGGGTGTGTTCAAGCAGGAAGTCGTATAAAGGTTGTACTTCTGCCCGGTAAAAGTATGATAGATGTGGGAAGATTGCCTTGTACAATGGTCAGCACCCTCTCCGAAAGGCTTGGGCAGCTTTTCAGGCTTCTCACCAGATTCTGATAGCTGTCTTAGAAACTTCTATAAAAAATGTGACTTTTAAGCTGACTTGTACGTAGTACGTAAAGGCCCTAACGATATTTTCCACCAGTAACCAGTTTTAATTATTCTATATTGTTTCTGTGTCCGTAATGTGTTTAGATGCAGCAGTAGAAATTGGATTCAGCTTTATTGTGTCCTGGTAGAGGGCCATCTGCTCTTTTACAAGGACAGAAAGGTTTTCGAGAAGAGCAGGACATCCGGCTCTGTAAGTTTCTCACATCTCTCTCTCTCTCTCTCTCTCTCTCTCTCTCTCTCTCTCTCTCTCTCTCTCTCTCTCTCTCTCTCTCTCTCTCTCTCTCTCTCTCTCTCTCTCTCTCTCGTTCTCTCGTTCTCTATCTATCTCTATCTCCCCCTCCCTCTTTCTCTCTTTGGCACATTACCTCGTTGCTGTCAGCATTTGTCCCTCAGACATTGCCCTCACATATACCCTGCAATGCTTCTTGGCAAGCACTGTACTCGAAGCAGATAGTTTGCAGAAAAATGTGTGGACATAGACAGTACTTCTGGTAATGCCTTGTGTAGGACAAGTAACCTGTGGTGTCCCTTTTCTGACTTTCTGTTTGTGTGTCTCTCTGTCTTTCTCTCTGTGTCTGTCTCTCTCTCTCTCTCTCTCTCTCTCTCTCTCTCTCTCTCTCTCTCTCTCTCTCTCTCTCTCTCTCTCTCTCTCTCTCTCTCTCTCTCTCTCTCTCTCTCTCTCTCTCTCTCTCTCTCTCTCTCTGCTGTTGCTGTTGCTGTTGCTGTTGCTGCTGCCGCTGCTGTTTGGCTGGCATGTGCCTATGGTGCAATCCGGCTGCTGTAGATGAGAAAAAAAGCAACGGCAGAAAAAGATTTACCGACGTCAGAGTTCCAATTGGAGTGCTCCATACTCCAAGTCATCAGAGATCACAAGAGAAAACACGTGGTCGAGGTAAGGGTGTACCTCTAGCTAAGTTGACGTCTTTAACCCTTTGCCGGTCTAACTCAATGTATGTGAGGGGTGGTCACGCAAATACATGTACACACAACCAGCAATAACTCAAGAACCATGTGATGTAGGTATGGGTAAACCATATATTTTCAAAATCTGTATGCCTGAACGCGTCCAGAAAATTCAAATATGACTAGGTCCAGGCAAGGATAGGGCACATGGTAGCCCTTCAAGTTGAGAGAAAATACAATTGCGAATGAAATACACGAATATCGCAGCACGAAGGGCATACCAAGTTCGTGATGGAGCTGAAGTCGTACGATAAACAATCACATAAGGACTACGTCTTTACAAGAAATGTAGGCTCTCTACAATACCGCCATTGAACACCAACACCTAGCCATCGGCGATACGCCAGCAGCAGCAATTCCCATTCCACGATATCGCAGCTTCGGTTTGTTCATCTCAGCGCTGCTCGCGTCAGATTCACTCTCGCTCAGATGAGCACTCAGGCGCGAGCTTACGCATGCCGTGATTCTCATGGCCAGGCGAATCAGCTGATCGCACCTGACGAGTCCTTGTGACAGTTGCTGTCGCCGTGTCGGCAGCAAGAAGGCTTCCTCTCTGTTTGGAGAATTTTGTTTCTTCATTCGTGGACGATATATTTTTGAACTAGCAGGACTCAACAGAGCTTTTTTTCTCAACACACTACACTGCAAAACCTCCCGGGAGATCCAGGCTGGACTGGTGGTGTTACTGCTCTCAGAACGCTTGTCAAACACGGCCCCAAGAGATGCACTCGCATTCTCGAAATGCACGCATGGCGGATGGTCGTCTTTTCCAATTTCAACAAACTTCAGTCGATCGATACGGCAAAAATTTGTATGGTTAGCATGGTTGTTTTGTACATCGTCAGAAAGCCTTGGACCTCAGCTACGCGTAGAGCGCCATTTTAGCTGTCTCCTAGCAACAAGACCCCAAAAAAATGAGGGCCAAACGTACCGATACTATAGTATCGGTTCGCTTACGGCAGACCGGTAAAGGGTTAAGAGGGCAATGCGACCAGCAGCTTCTCGGCTCGGTGGGAAATGCTGGCGAGCAGAATACAAAATGAGTATTGAGTCTATTGACTGCTCCTTGCTTGTCATACATGGGGAGCATATCTGGCTGCCAATATTTTTAAGTGAACTGTGTTTGCCGACATTAAACATAGATAATGGCTGGCACTTGTTGGGCTTTGTTTTGGCATTATTACTTTTGATGCTCATATGTTCAGTTTGTGCCAAGTTTTGCAATAGTCCATAATGCTTTCTCCTTGCTGGAAGAGGTGTGTGCTGCTGCTGCTACTGCTACTGCTGGGTTCTGGTGACTGTGCTGTAGTTTTTAGCCTGCTTTGCGTGTTGTGTACTGCTGCTGCTGTTATTGTTTTCGCTATCCTTTGCTTTCTCTTAAGCTGTGTTCACAACTGGCGCGTGTACGAGTGAAACCACACGTTTGTGCGTATTTTTGCTGGCTTTTGGGCATCATGCGTATGGAAACGCGGCGAAATGGAAATTCCAACATGTTGGAATTTTCAGCGCGTATCAGGCGCGTACCAGCGTACATGCCAGTCACTTTCACCGGTGGGGTCAAAAAATTAGTACTCGAAGGCGTCACCCGCCCTAAATATGAGTCGAATTGCTGTTTTTGGTGAAAGCCTGAGCGCTCGTTTGTCCACGTATGAACCGCAAGCGTCCCCCTTCCACGCGCTTTTGGGAACACAGCTTAAGTGCTACTAGTATCTGTCTCATCGTTTTTGCAGAATATAATAAGCTAATGACTATAGTCTTTGGATGGAGAGCCAAGGATAAATGTGTAGAAAAGAAAAAGGACCAAGGAACTACAAGTTACGCTATAATGTCCACTAACACCACCGGTTACAAAACAATCGGCTCATGCGATAACTGCGATGCTGTTGGAGTGCGCATCCAAGATGTGCTGGAGCTGTTGGCCAGGTAGTTGTAGAACGCCAGTACCGTCAGTGTCGTGCAATGTTATCGCATGAGTGGATTGTTTAGTGACTGGTGGTGTTAGTGGACATTATAGTGTAACTTGTAGTTCCTTGGTCCTTTTTCTTCTCTATACAACTATAGTCTTTGTTTTTGGATTTTCATTTCTTGGGCTTGGCCCGAACATTTGGATAGAATTCTACTATTTTTGGAAGAATCGTAGCCGAGAGACCGCTTTGGGTAGTGGTGTGTGATTGTGTGAGGGATGAAGTGGCTACAGTGGAGTCTGCACACCCTGAGGAATTACAGTGTCGCTCAATGAAATCCAGTCGCGTCACTCAAGTACGCGCCGGGCATTGCGCAGCCCTAGGCCTGCAAACACTGGGTTGTGAAATGGTGCAAGGCGCAAACTCGAATGACGCGACTGGATTTCATTGAACCTGACTGTATGTTTGATGGAGTGTAATGTCCTACCCCTGGTTACCATGGTTACTGCCTGCCGTTCAGCATGAGTGCAGACTTAACACTGTGTGTGTGTGTGTGTGTGTGTGCGTGTGTGTGTGCGTGTGTGTGTGTGTGTGTGTGTGTGTGTGTGTGCGTGTGTGTGTGTGTCTTCCCTGTTGCCCGTTTGCTCAGCTCATGAACGAGAAGAACGGTGTCGTCTGGTGTCAGTTAGAGACGCAGGGCCAGTTCGACGAGTTCAAGAAGGTCATCCTGTCGCACTCCGGTGCTAAAGAAGTAGTGGACAGTTCCAGCAATGGGGTATGGATGCTGCGTGTGTGTGCCGTGCTGTTCTGTGCTCTTTCCTCAGGCCTATATGATTGTTACATGCCCGTACACGGGCGTGCCGCTCATAAGAACCACTATAAACGTGTGTGTAGAAAAGAAAAAGGACCAAGGAACTACAAGTTACGCTATACTGTCCACTAACACCACCAGTTACTTGACAATCAGCTCATGCGATAACATTGCATTGCATTCCATTCCATCCGAGTCCATTATAAACTTGTTTACCGTATTTTCTGGGGTATAAGCCGCGCCCAGATTTTTCGTCACGAAATACTGACATCTTTCCTATATATCACCATTCTTTTGAGCACTGTAGTATAAGCCACACTGGCTTCTTTGGGATGAGTTACTGGTTTTTATTAAAGTACGGTACTTAGTGATAGAAGAATGTATGCAGTAGCAATACTCGCCTGTGTGTGTGTGTGTGTGTGTGTGTGTGTGTGCGTGTGTGTGTGTGTGTGTATGTGTGTGATGGCTGTCTGTTCATGTAACTTTGTGTGTGTCTCTGGGTCTGTGCGTGCATTTTGTGTTTGGCTATGCGTGCTTCTCCACCTGTTTCTATGACGCCGCGCTACTTGACCTGCCGTGTGGTTGTGGCGCACAGCATGCTCCCGAGTCAGTTATTGCCGGTAAGCTGCAAACAACGCCCTGCTTCGCTTTTTATTTCCGCTTTTTGGGGTCGGATGGGGAAGGGAGGGTGGGTGTTCTGCCTCCTTAGACCTGTTGTTCGGGAAGTTATTATGTGTTGTGTTTGAATAAGAGTGACAAGGCTTCCTGTAGCTCCATGTATGCAAAGAGTTTCTGAGTACAGTAGTGTCGGGCGCCGAAGAAAAGAACGGCCAGGCTAGAATTTCACCAAGCACGGCATACCAATGTATACACGGTGACTCAACTGCGCATGGACTGTAATGCATGAAAATAAGAACGGTCTAGGCTAGGAGGCTGACCCCCCAGTTCTTCGGCGACCGACGGTACTGTAAACCTGCTCTGTCCCTTCCATTAACACTGCAAGCATGTAGCCTTTTTTCTATCACAATGTCAGTGTTTTTACCAGCATTGTCTTTAGTACTCATGTGTCCGCGCAAACACCATGGCACAGTGCTGTGTGGGTCTGTGGGGCTGCGATTGAAATTTCACAGCTGGTGACCAACTGCACTCGATGTAAGAATGATGGCTAAGTGAAGACAGGCATGTGTTTCACTGCAACACTCCACACGCAGGAAGACTGTATGCAGGGAATCCCATGCAGGTGGTTTTTTGGTGCGCATACGAGTACATACCCCTGCTCGGCATAACGATTTCTGTTTTTTTGTGCGTGTGTGTGCACGTGTGCCTGTTACTGTGCACAGACGACGATGAGGATGACGATGACAAGAGTAAGTATCCAATGCTCCGGGTCTTTTCTTGGCGTTCTGTCTGTCTCACACAGTCTCACTCTCTGTTCTCTCTCTCTCCCCCTCTCTCTCTCTCCCTCTCCCTCTCTAACGCTCTCTCTCCCTCTCTAATGCTCTCTCTCTCCCTCTCTCTCTTTCTCTCTCTCTCCCTCTCTCTCCTTCTCTCTCCTTCTCTCTCCCTCTCGCTACCAATCTCCAACGCTCTCTCTTTCTCTCTCTCTCCCTTTCTCTCTCTCTCTCGCTCCCTCTCTCTCTCTCTCTCTCTCTCTCTCTCTCTCTCTCTCTCTCTCTCTCTCTCTCTCTCTCTCTCTCTCTCTCTCTCTCTCTCTCTCTCTCTCTCTCTCTCTAATGCTCTCTCTCCATATCATGTCTGGTTGGGTGTATCCATATTGAGTTTACTGTACGCCTTAACCTTGCATTGCCTGCTCTCCTTGCATTGCCTGCTCTCCTTGCATTGCCTGCTCTCCTTGCTTGCTTGTACAGAAATCGTAAAGAAGAAGCTGCTGGCCTTCTTCAGTCGGCGTCCACCTCTAGAAAGCCTACAGGGCTTGGTAAAAGGTGAGGAAGATGAGCCATCTCGGGAATGTGTGTGTGTGGGGGGGGGGGGGGCATTGAGTGAGCACACAGAACAGATTTCACTGGTGACCCAGGTCCATGGGGCATCAATATTATACAGCCTTGTGATGAGGCTTATTGTTTCTTACAATCACATTGGCGAAAGCTCTGTGCCATAGCTCTTACTCATGCTGCAGGCATATTTTAAAACTACAGTGCTGACAACTGAAATCCGAGGGGGTCGGATTTCAGTTGCCAGCACTGTATTTCAAATAATGTAGGTGTTTTAGATCTTCTCCAGTACGTAGTGACTTTGTGATGTTCTCTGCAGAGCAATACTTTGGCGTGCATCTTGATCGGCTGTGTGAACGAGAGAAATGCACAGTTCCCACCTTCGTCGAGGAAATCATCTCCGCAATAGAACAGCGAGGTAAGTCACACACACACACACACACGGACAGATTGAGGGAATGGTGGAAGGTCCCACGTGAACTGATCGAGGGCTGTGTGTGTGTGCGTGCGCGCGAGTCACAGTGTGTGTGTGTGCGTGTGTGTGTGTGTGCATCAACGTGTGTGTGTGTGTGTGCGTGTGTGTGTGTGTGTTTGCCGATCGTGTACTGCGGGAAATCTCATCCTAGCCAATTCTTTGTGGCCAGGAATTCTAGTGCAGTTTCCCGGAGCACACCGCCATAGCCGCGCTACACATCCAGCATTGCGTGACCGTGTACCATGCAGGCAGTGGGGAAATTTGCGACTCCACGTGTGCAATTTTTCCATGATTTCGACGATTTCTTAGAATTTTTGTGCTTCTGAAAATCGAACTTGCGCGAGTCAAGCAGAGCGTTTATGTACATGAGAGGATCACAGCATTGGTGACCTGGCGCTTGGCCCCAGCATGTCCTAGTGGCAAGCTGTTGATTGTGGCAGTACTCTGTTGGTTTTAAGACTTGCCCAGTGCTGTAGTATACATATAGTCTGAGCGTTTGTATTTTCCGGCTGGATTAGTAATTTAGTACGCCCACTGTCATGCATCACCGGCATCACATTGTGCTGTGCAGTAGTCCCAGTTTTAATATTTCAGTTGCATGAAAGATTCGAAACACGTATCCATATGTATGGAATCGAGCATGAGTACGAGGACGAAAGTGCGGAATCGGAGCCCGACGCGCGCTAGCGCGGAGGGCTCCGATTCTAGCACTTGAGTCCGAGTACGAATGCTTTGATACCATTTCTGACATGCATTGCACGAACTACTTCGTACTACTAGTACTACTACATGTAGTACTTCACACATACCTAGTACCTACTCAAGGCACGCACACTAGACCAGACAAGGAACACAACTAGTCGCCAGTTTAGTACTTCAGACATGTTACATAATGACTAATGTACACAGTCACAACACAGAGATAAAACAAGGGCGGTCTAGTCAGCTAAAAACCAGGTCAGTTCAGCTTCTCTTCTTCGCAGTGACTACAGCCTAAAAAAAAAAGCGGCCTCTGATGGCTGAATCGGAGCACGCCTAGGCGTGCTCCGATTCAATCGGAGCACGCCTGGGCGTGCTCCGATTGGAAAATCGGAAACCTGCAAGCGCTCACAGGTCTTCAGTGGCTGATTCAAAGCACGGCAAGTCGCGCTAGGATTCGCTGTTGCCATGTCGATTGTCATGTGACATGTCAGAAGAGTCAATTTGTGTAGCACACGCGCGCACACACGCACACACACACACACACACACACACGCACACACACACGTGCGCATGCGCGCTAACCATCTTCGTCTGTCTACTGTACTGTCACGTGTACTCGCATGCCTGGACAGAAACTTACTCAAGCGATCATCCAGTCCAAGACAACCAGGTTCTTGAAGTCATTCATATTCTTGTTTGCCAATTGCAATTCGCCTATCTGTTTCCCCTTCTCTTTGACTGCATAGGGCTTGAAACAGTGGGAATATACCGACTATCTGGAAATGCATCGCAAGTCCAGAAGATCCGGTTCATGGTGGACCAGGGTAAGCAAAGAATCTTGATTCAAGAGAATGGTGGTTATACGAATATCAACTATCGAAGGGAGTAGAGCATTGCTGGCACATAGCAATGGTGGAAACACAGGTTATATTATCACTGCTCCAAGTGGTATAAGCTGATACTGTGATGTGAAAGTGCCCTGTACATGATAGTCGGGTTGGGAAAGGAGTTGATGCAGGAACGAGATACATGGCTGGGTTTTTTTCCAGGAAGGCATGTAGGTGAAATCTTTGCTCTATGTGTGCGTGTGTGTGTATGTGTGCTGCTGCTGCTGCTGTGTGTGTTCGTGTAACAGAAGAGGAAATCGACTACACTGATGCACTGACATGGGACGATATCAACGTCCTCACCGGCGCTCTGAAGTTGTTCCTTCGAGAACTTCCCGAACCACTCATCCCGTATCCAGCCCTGGACTCCTTCGTAAATGCCGTCCGTGAGTAGAAATATATCCACTTGTTTTCTTTTCTGGCAGGCACAGTAGGTTGCTCAAAGACCATGATTGAGATACGAGAGGTACCTGGTTCAAGTCCTGCCTGGGAGCGGTTTTTCCAGCCGTGCTGCTACCCACAGTCAACTGGGAACTTGTGGCTAATGGGGTCTTTCTCGGCACTTGTGCCAGTGGTTGTGAGACTTATCCACTCGCCCGCACCGTTAGGCGCTGCATCTGCCGCTGGGGGTTACCGTGTGTTAGCGGCCGTCGTGAGTTCCCTTCGGGAGCGGACACGATAACATCCTTCAAAGCGGTGAACCCCTTGATAGGCGACAAGCCTCTGGGTCATCCTAATAAAGATATTATTATTATTATTATTATAATTTGCTTTTACTTTTTCTTTCCTTGTCTGAGTAACTGTGCCGCCTGGGCATCACAGTAAACAAATCACAGTTCATGTGAGACTTAGCCGAGGGCCGAGTTATCCGCATCTCCAGGAACACCCTCTAGGATCAAGGCCCAGATGCAGCTCCTAAAGCGGTGGGAGGTGACAGTAAAACGTCAGTAAAATGCCTTCCTTACAACATACTCTGTAAATCTGGTTATAGGGTCCTGCTTTATACTGTAGCCATGATTTGACCTTGGATAGACAGTAGAATCCCTTTGCTACACTCTACATGGCCCTGGCTACACTCTACATGGCCCTGGCTACACTCTACATGGCCCTGGCTATATACTACACATACTGTAAATCAACAAATTTTTGCTGGCGATTTAATTTCGCTGATTTCGCCGGTCAATGCCAACCGGCCAAAATTTGTCACCATAACCAAATACTGTCAGTTTGGGTCAATCTTTTGCCAAAAAAATCAAACGCGAACACACTGCCATTAATGAAGGCCAGAAAGCGGACCTTTGTGCAGTCAAATCTGCCGTTAGCGACCTCTGCTGTAGGCGACCATCTACCGTTAGCGACCGATTTTCCGTGCACCGACGGTTTCACATACAAACTGATCTGTCCAGAGCGACCATCTGCAGTGCGCGACCAGCGACCGCGATTTCATGCACGGTGGCTGCATTCAAATCTGCTGTAAGCGACCGCGACCCAGGTTCAGTAAGGTGCGAAACTGTACTTGCCAGTGCGCTGTCAACTGCAAAGTGTGAAAATGCGCTGTCTTGCAAGTGCGATCGACTGGCGCCTGGCCTGTACCATGTGTACTGAGGCTGTGCTGTAGCGATCTCAAGTCCAGGCAGTGTCGATCTACTGCCGTGTCGCATACGCGTAATACAGGTATGGTCGTCGTTGAATATCCAATAAAATGATATTAAAAATCACATTATTCTCGTCGATTTGAGTACATGGAAGCATATACCTGGTATGCCGGATTTACCATACATCTGCCGTAAGAGACCATCTGCCGTAAGCGACCGCTTTTTCTTGCACCAAGGGGCGGTCGCTTACGACAGATTTGACTGTACTACATTCGCGCACGAAACATCTATCACTTTTTTTGGACTCTTGTGCAATTGCACGCACACGGCGAAAGTTTAGTGGTGGCGAAAAGTGTTTTTTGGAGATCGGCGAAAGTTTTTCAGCAGCGAAGATTTGTTGATTTGCAGTAGTGATATCCCATGGAAGTATGGTTATAAAAATAATAAATAAATTCGACGGGTTCGCGTACCGGGCAGGTCAAGAACAAGGAGTCGTACAACTCCCTGGTCAAGAACCACCTTTCCGCTTCCGTGGGACGCCACCACCCCATGATCAGGCATCAGATGCGGCTCCTAGTATGGTTATACAAATATAAAAACATAAAGAGTATAGATAGTGATGTCCCATAGAAGTATGGTTTGCTGAAGTTTCACTGTCGTTTCTACAGTCCATTTCAAAACTATAGACGCGCAGTTTTTTTTTAATATTTCAAATTTGGCTGGAACCTTTTGAGAATAGTTTTCGGAATATTGCTCAGGTCCGCTCCACAATTGCTCTCATATAGTTTCTAAACGATTGGATAACAGACGTCCAATTTGGAAAAAATTATGCACAAAGTGATCACAGATTTTATGTGGTATAGATGCTGGCATAACGGTTTTTGCCTAGGTACGCGTCTATAGTTTTGAAATGGACTGTAGCACAATCAGGCTTGTCCTCCCAGTGGCAATCTGAAGATGTTGCTTCCCTGTGACACACACACACGCACGCGCGCACACACATACACACACACACACACACACACCTTATTCTGCACGTGATCTTCGGTTGATAAAGCAATGAATAAATCACCTGTTCAGATATTCAGTTGCTTTGCCGTAAAGGAGCTCATGGCTCATTCTCATGCGTGCCTGCTGATCGCACTGGTGTCCCACCTACCAGTCCGTTTATGCCGACAGTACAGGTTTCACCTTGAAACGGCTGCTGCGGTACACGTTTGCATGTCAGCAATTGTACAGCGGGGCTGACTGGAACTCAGATGGGTTTCTTCACCTCGTAGGCTCGCTCTATACCATATGTTCTGGAGTAAGTATAAGGCGCACTTTATAAGCACTCTTGATTCCTCCGGAGAAAAAAACTGATGCGGCCTATACTACGATTGTCAAATGGACCATGAAATTCAGTGTAGATGTCTGTATTTTCAGTACAGGTGAAATCCTGATAATTCGAATATGGCTTAATTAGAACATACTGCTTAATTAGAAGTTTCTTCCGGGACCGATTTCTGCCAATACGATTTCCACATAACAATTTCTGATAATTAGAACCTCGAACTGGGTATGTCCGGTTAATTAGAAGTCCCACGGAATCCACTTACATAGAACATGTGTGGGATTTGTGCTGATAATTCAAAGTTAGCAAAACATATTAGAAGTTTACTGTATTTTCTGCAAATCAGTTTGGTTTGCATGCACAGGCAGTTCAGTGTCCACTGAATCTGTGTCTAAGGTGTGTAGTGCAATTCTGCGTGTCAATGCGAGCATTTTGACATACATTATGTGTTGTGGGTACATGTTTGGATAATTAGAATGTCCGGATAATTAGAAGTTTTTCTGCGGCATTTCGGTGTTCGAATTATCAGGATTCCACCTGTACACCCAACTCGCAACACGCAAACAGTCCTTCGCTACACCACGTGCAGTAAATTGTACAAATTTCAAAGTTCTTAAAAAAAATGTCTGTATTTCGTTGCAAATAATATGGGTGCGGTGTACACTCCGGAAAGTACTGTACTTCAATTAAGACTACGAAGATTATAGAAGCCGCTGACGTCGGCATGCACCTTGACAACTTGTTTCGATAATATGTACAGTGCTGGCAACTGAAATCCAACCCCTTAGCCATGCGTTCACATTCTACATTTTGTAGCGGTCTCTATTTCGTAGTTTTACTATCCCATGCTGGGTCTTTGCGATGTGAGCACTGGGCGCACCGCTCAGGGGTCGGATTTCAGTTGCCAGCACTGCCGGTGTGCTGGAAACTTCCAAACCTGATTTCCCGTCCCGACCATCAGTTGAATATGCAGAACCAAGAGCAGCCAGCGATTGAACCTAGGGTTAAATTCAGTATCAAAGTAGTGCCACACATCACAGGTACACTGCTGGTAACTGAAATCCGACCCCCTGAGCGATGCGCTCACATCGTAAAGACCCCACACGGGATTGTAACACTACGAAATAGAGACGGCTAGAATGTGAACGCGCCGCTCGGGGGTCAGATCTCACCTGCCAGCACTGCACTAGGTATGTGCTGTTGCAAGTGCCGTAAAAGGTAATGCTTGTGATGCCACTCTTGTACAGTGTACCATGAAGAAATACATTGAAACTAGTCTAAGACGACGGCTCAAGGGACCTTCAAAATGTGGTCTCTGATACCAGGTGGCCGCCCTAATTCAGGGTCAATCATTTGACTGGAAATAGCATCCCTTGGTCCTGGTTGTGGTGGTCTTCGAGGACAGGTGGTCTTCCAGGACAGGTGGTTGCCTTATCAGGTTTTACTGTATGCCCTTTGCTTTCTTTCTGATCTGTAGAGATGCCAAGAGAAGTGGACAAGAGGGCAGCAATGCATTCACTGATAGAAGCGCTGCCGCAGAACAATTTCGACACGCTCAAGTTCATCTTGGAGCATCTGATGAGGTGATTATCACATTGGATCCGTGCTGCCACGCACACATTCATACTGGACACGGCAGTGTGTGCGTGCTCGTCCTGATGCTACTGTGCATTGACCCAAAGCGGCCAGCCAAACATGTTGGTCTCTTGCACGCATAGTGGTAGCAAGAGTACATAAGCAAGAGTGTGCAACTCGACGATATCCCAGCCTGTGGCGAAATTGTTTTCATGGCATCAGTCTTTCGTGGTCATTTGACTCACTGATGCCATTATGAGCAGCAGGAGGTCCAAGTACGACGAATTTGTACATGTCCCGTAAAGTACTGTTGATCCGCCCCTGTCGAATTTCTGCCTGTGAAGCGACTTTCGGCGTATACAATGAAGTGCGGTGTTGAACCGACGCATGCACTGCTGTACACAATTCGAGCCAATGCAGGGTGAAGATGTGCACAATCCAGCACACCGAGTCTGACCTTCCGCTTTGTTGTACATCCCACTGCACTTGACGGCCTTGATCTTCATCGCCCCCTGCCGAAAACCCAGCTAGGAAGCAACATGGCGGGGGGGGGGGCAACTGTACTTTACGGTTCATTGCGGCCACGGCAGTGGAAGCAGAACAACGGATGGCACATGTATATCCACGTGTTCCGAACCGGATGAACTCACACAGTATCTACACAACAAGCGCGGGAAAGCGTACACACTCGACCATACTTCTGCAAAAGAATAACGCAATAGAGAGGTTAAGTTACACGTTTTTTGCCTTTTTTTCAAAACGCGGCGCAAATCTCACGTTACGTGTAAATTTTAGAGGTTAAGTTACACCTGCGACATGACATGAAATTTTGCCTGGCAGGATACGGGTTTAGTTCACACAAATATCAAATCTTCCAACAAACTCGATAAAACTTGATAAAACTACGCAAACTCACACAAATTCGATCAGGATAACCAAGCGAAACTTTCAAAACCCACGTCACGAACTTACGTGCGGGACAGTCAACTCACGTAAAACACGTTAAATTTTACGTGAGTTTTTTGAATTTTTGACGTAAAAGTTCACGGACGTAAGAATTTTACGTGAAACTTAACCTCTCTAATAAAAAAATCCACCGTCTGAGAACCCATCACAGCTCAAGATATGAGCCGCGTACTCTTGGTTGTAGAGACATGTATTTTGTACAATTTACATGTCCAGGGCACTGCCCCTGTTATTCCACAGGGTCTCGACGTCCACCATTGTAGCTTCTACTGATAGGGTAGAGCAGGCTGCAATGTTTGGCAATGCCAATCACCCTACTGTAGGCAAACAAAGCAGGCAGGCATAGTGGGATGGTCTAAGACCATGATTGAGAAACAGAAGGTACCAGTTTCAAGTCCTGCTTGGAAGCGGAAGGAATTTTTCCAGCCATGCTGCGACCCACAGTTAAATTGGGAACTCGTGGCCTGGCACGAGGGTAACATGGATGCAGCTAATGGGATTTCGGTCTTTGACCACTTGGTGGTGGGTCTGATCTACTCACCTCCCACCGTTTAGGCGCTGCATCTGCGCCTTTGATCCTAGAGGGTGGTGGCGTTCCCACGGCGGATGCGGAAAACTCGGCTTCCGGCCGAGTCTCACGCGAACCGGGGAATTTATTTAATGTATGCAAACAAAGAAAACAGTGAACAGCATCAGTAAGAAATGATGGTAGCAGCCTCGGTTATGACTAAATAAAAGGAAGATGGTTGCTCCCCGTACTGAAGCAACAGTAACAGCGTAACACTTCAAGTCCATGCTAAACTTTTGCTGTTCGTGCTGTCTATGTACTTATTCTTGCAAATAAAGAACTTTCTGTCTAACTCTCATCTATCTACCTCTGTATATATATATGTGTGTGTGTGTGTGTGTGTGTGTGTGTGTGTGTGTGTGTGTGTGTGTCTGCGTGTCTGCGTGTCTGCGTGTCTGTGTGTCTCAACCACAGAGTAACAGCGCTGGGAGATGAGAACAAAATGCAAGTCCAGAATATCGCCATCGTCTTTGGGCCGACAATGATGCGCAAGGAGATAGAATCTATCAACCTGGCAATGGAAATGGTATTCCGAACGTCCATCGTTGACTTCATGCTCCGCGACTTCCACTCGCTGTTCAGCTAGTTCTGGCGATGCCTGTCTTTGCCTTTCTACTTCTTTCATCCCGGGCCGACCTCGCTCCGCCCCGTGGACCTGTACAGTGTGCATGTGTGTGTGTGTATGTGTCTGTGTGTCTGTTTTCTCACAGTTGGGGCACGACATGTTGTCGATGCTGGCCGTCGTTCCCTGCGATTGCCTCCTGCCTGTCTGTGTATATGCATAATGTCTGTGCGTGTGTGCGTGTCGTTTCTTTTACGTTCGATATTTTTCGGCCGATCCGCGTCTTCTGCGCACGCTGGCTCTCTGTCTCCATACCGTCTCTCCCTGCTGTAGTGTATATGAAATCGTACTCAAGCATATCAGCACTGAATCATAACTAGTAGTATGTTAGTGAACCTTACCAGTCCCAGCTCACCCGTGAATCCCCCCCCCCCCCTCTTCCTCTCCTCTCCCGCTCTCTCTCTCTCTCTCTCTCTCTCTCTCTCTCTCTCTCTCTCTCTCTCTCTCTCTCTCTCTCGTCCTTCCTTTGTCTTGCCCACCGTGCCGCATCCTCTCCGTTTTCTTTTCGTGAAGGCTGGTGTGAACGCTCCTGAGCCCACACTCCAAGCTGCAAATGGCGATAACAAATGTCCGCCGCTTTCGAGCTCTGAATATGAACTCTGCACCTGTACAGTCAGAAACAGCCATTTCCCGATGCCCTCCCGGCCCTCACTACCGCTGGCCCTCGCCTTCTCTTTCTTGTTGATGAAAGAGCTTTGTCAGATGGTGTATGTGCCGGCGTGTGCGTGTATGTGTGTGTGTGTGTCACATCTTCCATCAAATCTACGGTGCACTGTGTTCTAACGGCAACGGCGAGATCTCGTCTGCGCCGCATGCTTTCTTCATTTCTTGCTAATGTGGCAGCAGTAACTACCCTGGGTTGCTTGTGCTGGCTACACGCTGCTTGTTCCCAGCTTCATGTTTCCAGAAGTCGCTCTACCACATCTCCTATGCATTGCCTACTAATATCCCTCCTTCCGAATACTTTCTCGCAATGTGGGTGCGCTTCGGTGCCCACGTCTACTTCTCTATCCGTATGTCCATGCTAGCTTTTTGTCAATTTCCCCACACAATGTCAAGCGCCACCTGCTATAAATATTAAGCCAAAGTACAACCCATCCTCCAGTTATTCATTCCTACATCGTAACCTTGATGTTAGTCTCGATGTACAGCCGTTTTTGCCCATTCCTCCCTGGTTTGGTGTGCTATAGTTGTGGTCTTCTCTTGTATAGTATTTAAAGTTAGTGTTTCTTTGTTCTCCTATTTCGGTATGCACCCAGCCGCATGCTGCGGTTAATGGCGGCGCGCTTTTGTTTGTCTGCATAGCAGGGTTGCATCCCGAAGTTGTGTGGAACTCCAGCTGCATTTGCTGTGTGTGTGTGTGTGTGTGTGTGTGTGTGTGTGTGTGTGTGTGTGTGTGTGTGTGCAGGTTGTGTGTATTGGTCAGTTATCTGGCTCTAGTCTTGATCTGTCTTATTCAGATCCTGTCCGCTATCGTTGCTATAAGAGAAAATCTGTGGGTGCACATTCAGTGCATTTGCAGATTTGCATGCTTCTCTTGCGATGGGCGGGTATACAATTTAGGGGTGAAACGATTACCGAATACTCGAAATAGAAATCGCTACAAGCTAACAAATTGATTATTCGAAGCGTTTCGATTACTCGATTCTGTACACAGTAGTACACATGATTATACACGTATGATTGTAGATCGACCGATGGGCGAGAAAACATTCTCTTCTCCACAGGTCAGGATCAATTTTCAAATTCTAAATTTTCGCATTTTTCAGCTTCTAATACGGCTTTCATCTGTGGAAGAAATAACCGATAACCGATCGAAAAAGGTTTAGCCAAAGCCAACTTAGGTTTTTCGGTAGTCAAAAATACACAAAGTGTAATCGTTTCACCGCTTTGAAGCATACATGTACATGGTACCAAGAGTACTCTTGATGGTACATGGGTGTGTGTGTGTGTGTGCGTGTATGTGTGTGTGTGTTGTGTGTGTGTGCGTGTGTGTGTGTGTGCGTGCGTGTGCGTGTTGGATCCCGGGACGGATACTCTGATGCCGTCAGTCCTATTTCGGCATCTTGTTCTCGCACACTTACTGAGGACTGAGGTGTGACGATCCCATAACTGCATACATATAGAAGATAAATGTATTAATTTTTTTACCAAGGTGGATCATTTCCAAGCTGGGAGTATTACAGGGATTTTACCACTCCCCGCTGCTGCTCGTTTCGATCGTCATGGATCGGGTGGTGTAGTCTGACTGTAGACAGTCTAGATCTACACAGCTGCAGCCCTATGTACTACAGCCATGCTCACAGCCCATGTTATTATGTACAGTGTCACCTGGTCACTGTCTTCTCAAGACTACGACAAGAGTCAAGACTAGTGTCAAGAAGTGGAGCGCCCGAAGCTTCATTGTATGCACCAGATGGTGAAGCCTGAAGGGGATTTTTTGTACTTTACATTCGGCAAACATCTTTTTTTTTACTCCAAAATATCCATATCCAGCGCGCGCTGCATGCGCATATGCATGCACTGGCCACTTGCACTGCGCTGCATATGCAGCGGCACACCGCGTGCATTCTAAAAATAATACAAGACCGTAGAAATACTAATACTATGCTGAAGGCAATTTCTGCAAAATTCTGGTCTGGAAGTCAGGATAAGCTGGACGGGATCACTCCGGCAGTCTACACCGGCTACATACCATACTAATAATCTTTGTTATACCAATCCAGTGGGTGCACAGCGACCTGGCGGCCAGGGTGAGCCAGCTAGCGAGACGAAGGAGTAGCGAGCGATAGAATTCCTGAGTTTTCTGCGGGCGTAGCCAGTACAGTGCTTGATGCGATGTTCATAACACAACGGTAGCAGCTAGTATCCACCGAGCAGCGACGTTCTGTTTCCTGGGCGTGAACTGGGGGAAGGCAGGCAGTATTGCTTCGAGCTCGCTGCCCGAGGCGCTGCGCTAGTGGCAAAAGCAAGGGACATGGACGGTGAACCAACTGCGACACCGCCGGCGACGCCTCGCGCACAGGACTCGTGCCGGTAAGGGCGTGCGCGTACGTGTGTGTTTTGCATCTTGACCATGTCTCCAACTCCACGCAGCTTGGCACTGGTTTACATGTACATGCATTACGAAATACTGTGACACACTCCGGGACAGTCACACAGCACCCTAGACAATAATATACCCTGCCACAATGTACTTTACCCATACATGTTGACAACACTCTCACATTGTACTATAGCCATGCATGTTGACAACACTCTCCAAACCGTCACTGGCCTACACCAATCACTAGAAGAAAAGAGATACAATTACCGTATTATCTCTAATGCAAGCATGGTCCTTTATTTTTTCAATGTACCTCCGCCCCGTGCTATTAATGGAGACGTTCCTTTATTGGAGACTGTTCCATTATTATTTCAACCTCATTTCAGAGGCATGTTGCCATGCCAATTCATGTCAGACACACACATTTAAGGGTTTTTTCGCCGGTACAGATAATGAATTTACACAGTGTGCTTATAATGGAGACTGAGCACTTTATGTTTTGAATGCCGCCCCAAGGTGTTCTTTTATTGGAGACTGTGCTTATATTAGAGATAATACGGTATTTAATTCCCGTTTGTGTCTTTCCCTCAAACTAGTCAAAATTATTAAATCATTTGAATTTTCGATCAAGGCCCATCTTCACGAATGTAGTAACATAGTGCTAGTAGACCCAGGTGCTCAAAGTCCTTATAGGCACTGTTAGTCGGCACATTTTCGGCCAATTCAAATTTCGGCCGCATCAGATTTTCGGCCTGTACTGCTGCCGCCTGTATATACAAAGCCACATGTAACCTGTATACATATAATAAGACTTCGGGTATAAAGGGACACTTCGCGAATAAGGACACTTTTCTGATGCCCCGCCGAGTGTCGTTACACGCAAAGTTGACTGTACTAGCGGATGTGTCGCTTTGCTGGTGGTGTGCCGTGGTAACGTGTGGAGGTCGGCTGGAGAACCGTGGCAGTTGTGGAGCGGTGGTTGATGAAATCAGTTCAGATCCTGCCAAATATTTTACTGTTTCGCTGAGACGATGGGTGATGCACAGATATTTGGTGTGTGTGTGGGGGAGGGGGTGTGTGTGTGGGGGGGGGGGGGTGAGTGTGTGTGTGTGTGGGAGGGGGTGAGTGTGTGTGTGGGAGGGGGTGAGTGTGTGTGTGGGGGGGGGGGGGGTACTGTATAGAGTTCATGCCTGATATCGTCTGTGGTTGCCAGCAGGAGAAACGAAGATGCTGCATGTGTGTATTCACTTTTCTCTCTCTCTCTCTCTCTCCCTCCCTTCCTCCCTCTCTCCCTCCCTTCCTCCCTCCCTCCCTCCCTCCCTCCCTCCCTCCCTCCTCCCTCCCTCCCTCCTCCCTCCCTCCCTCCCTCCCTCCCTCCCTCCCTCCTCCCTCTCCCTCCCTCCCTCCCTCCCTCCCTCCCTCCCTCCCTCCCTCCCTCCCTCCCTCCCTCTCTCTCTCTCTCTCTCTCTCTCTCTCTCTCTCTCTCTCTCTCTCTCTCTCTCTCTCTCTCTCTCTCTCTCTCTCTCTCTCCCTCTCTCAACAGAACACCAATGCGTGTTCGCGTTGCTGCCATTGCAGCGCATAGTCGCCACGACAACGTGGGCGAGCTATTCCTGTCTATACGACGGCAGGTCTGTGATGTGCTATACGTTGCAATTGACGACAGTGACGAGGATGACTGTGAGTGGAGTGCGACTTCTACTGGTGGCACGGGTACCTCGTGTGCCTTTTCAGAGCGTGTTGCCGTTGACGACAGGGGACTGCTGAGCAAACGCCTGCGACTCACCAACGTAAGTTGTCGTATGTGCGCGATTCAGGCCGTGTGTGTGTGTGTGTGTGTGTGTGCATGTGTGTGTGTCACTGGGTGTGTGTGTGTGTGTGTGTGTGTGTGTGTGTGTGTGTGTGTGTGTGTGTGTGTGTGTGTGTGTGTGTGTGTGTGTGTGTGTGTGTGTGTGTGTGTGTGTGTGTGTGTGTGTGACACTGTGTGTCGTGTGCGTACATGCGTGTGTGTGTGCACCCATGCGTGGTTCAGACTATGTGTGTGTGTGTGTGTGTGTGTGTGTGTGTGTGTGTGTGTGTGTGTGTGTGTGTGTGTGTGTGTGTGTGTGTGTGCAGGTGAGGGGGGGGGGGGTTGTGTTGCGGCTTATCTTTACAGAATTTTAGCCTAAAAAAACCCTGTGCTGCACCCCTGTACTCTTGCTACTATGCTTAGCCCCCGTTTTCTGGAAGTTGCAGATACTTGTACATTCGTGATGGCCTCAGGTATCCCTCCTTGGGCCGCCTCTAGGCCAGGGGAAGCGCTTGATGGAGGAGCTCACACAGCTGAGAGCGAGGACAGTGTTTTCGTGCCGGCATGCCTAAACCTTACCAGCCTACCCGATTCAATTGCGAAATGTCTACAGCCCTGACTTATTCGGTATACTGTGATTGAGCTATGCTCACGAATTCATCTGCGTGTGCCTTCATCTTAGTAGCGATCCACTCTGACGTGCATGTGTGTGTGTGTATGTGTGTGTGTGTGTGTGTTTGTGTGTGCGTGTATGTATGTTCAGGATCTGTTTCGTTTGTGTGCGACAGCATGCCCCTCTCTGAGTGTACGTTTTCTCTTCCGCCACTCCGTTGCTCTCAACACCGGGGAAACGGATACCGGTAATGGCACTCAGCCCGGTAACCAAGGTAGCTGTTTGAATGCGTGAAAAGTGTTTCTAATGCGGTGCGTCAACAAGGCAAACATGGCCTCTGGATGAATGTGTGTGTGGGTGGGTTTTTTACCAAAAAAAACACACACCCTTTGACGGCACAAAGCAGCAAGGCAGCGATGTGTGTGTGTGTGTGTGTGTGTGTTTCGATAGGTAACTGTCTTGTCCGTCCTTTTCCAATGTGCTCCGTGTGGTGTAGACCAGGTGTGCATTGGTGGTCGATTCACATGGCTTCGCCAGTTGTGTGGATTAGACAGTTATCTGGCGCAAGTCTTGATCTGTCTCATTCAGATCTTGTTCGCTATCGTTGCTATAAGAGAAAGTCTGTGGGTGCACATCCAGTGCATTTGCAGATTTGCGTGCGTCTCTTGCAATGGACGTATACATGGTACATGGTGTGTGTGTGTGTGTTATGTGTATTTGTGTGTGCGTGTGTTTTGACAATTTTCTGCCCGTTGTGTGCAGTGCTGTGCCGATGCCCTGAAGTGATCTTTGTCTCCGAGCGTCTGCACGCACATCACCAACACTCTCACTCGTCATCTCCCTCGTCGCCGCACTGCTCGCTCGTGTCCTGGCTGCAGCAGCGCAGTGTCTCAGTGTATGGGAAGCCGAGAGTGGAGCGTGCCCCGCCAATGGCCGCCGCTGACTCCGTCTTGCTTAATCGCGAGGTACGTGCTAATCACAGTAGTGAGTACTGTATGCAATACTAGAGTTTTATCGTGGGGGGGGGGGGGAGAGAGTTGGGAAGCTACGATTTTGCTTTGGGGGTGGAGGGAGGGGGCTTGTGTAGCGTTGGGGGGGGGGGGGGGGGGGCTGAGGTAGCCAGGGTGGGGGGGGGGCTTAGGTAGCCAGGGGTGGGGGGGGGGGAGGAGCAACCTAGGGAGGGGAGGCTGAGTAAGCTAGGGTTTGGGGGAGGGAAATGAGTTAACTAGGGGCTTGGGGGGGGGGGGGGCTGAGTAAGCTAGGGTTTGGGGCGTAAGCTAGGGTGGCTAGCTGCATCCAGAGCTTGAGTATACCCATAATAATTTGCAAGCTGAAAAAGGGGGAACAAGAGGAGAGAGAGAGAGAGGGGGGGGGGGGGGTGGATTGTGAGAGGAACAGGAGAATGTCTGTACAAGAGAGGTGTGACGAGGAAGGAGCTCAAGGACGAGACAGGCCACACGGTGTGTGTTGTTGTTGTGCATATCTGATTTGCATAGGTATCGGACGACGTACCCGTGTACACGACTAGCGAGGTGCGTGTGTCAGCGTACGACAACGTGGTCATGGGAGGAACCTTTGATCGGCTACACTGCGGACACTGCCTGCTGCTGACATCCGCTGCGCTCATCACCAGAAGGTCAGTAACTGACACGTGCAGGTTTACCCGAGTTTGGGGTCGTCGCAAAAGTTTTTTGTCATCCCTGAAACGAACATCATTCAGTTCGTACTCGGACCCCCTCCCCTCCCTCTGAAACGAACACAGCTTGCTATGCTGAACGACGAAAATCGCATGCATGTATATGTCATATGTACAGTGTCGGTCGACTTGCGATTTTGGCTCCCCCCCCCCCCCCCCCCAAAGGAATGATGTTCGTTTCAGGGGCGACAAAAAACTTTTGCGACGACGCCTTAGTAGACAGCCCCTTGGGTTTCAGATTGTTTGTCTTGTAAAACGAGTATCATCGACGTGAATGTAAGCATTTCAGGCGTCAGGGTGTTTTTGATCATTGTCTACTAATGAGGTTTGGCTTGTAACCGATGTCGTACGAAAGAGCGTAGGCCCGTGTAAGCTTAAACGTGATTAGCTGTTGTCACGGTGATTGTCATGTGATGTATCCATGGTCTCACTCTCTTCTCACCCAGCCATGACTGTCCTGTTGTGAAATGCGTTCCCATGTCCACGTGCCCCCCCCCCCCCCACACACACACGCGCGGGGGGGGGGGGGCACACACACACACACGCGCGCGCGCACACTGGTATGTTGGCGTATTCTTTTTTCAAATGCATGCTATGGTGTGTCTGTTTCTATTCACATACATAATATATACACACACGTGCACACCTACTCGCACGTACATACATACACACACACACACACACACACACACACACACATGTGTGTCAATTTTCAGAAAGCTAGTGATAGATGTAGCTGACGGCAACCTCCTGAGCAGCAAGACATTACGAGAGCTGATGGAGCCGGTTGCCTATCGTATTGCTCAGGTGAGAAGTCAAATAACCATGGCTACAATCAACAGTACATGAAACCCAGAGTGTTAATATGTGCAGTTCTGATGGGTTGCTGTCACGGCGGAATTCCGAGATAACATCATGATGTAGGGCGTACAAGCAGGATTCAAACAGGTCTCTTTCTGCAGAACTGCGGCTCAGTTGTATGCACTACTACGCCAGTTCCAAGTTCCCATGGCAGATCTGTACCAACTATGATGTCATCTCGGAATTTCACCCTGACAGAAATGTCAGTACCTGCACACTGTCGGTTTTATACACTTTTGCTACAAGGCAAGAGTTCATACCCCTGTGCTACTGGTCCCGTAGTGCCCCACACTGTCCCGCCCTGCCTCCCCGGCCTGTCTCCCTCCCTGCAGCATCCCCCCGTCCTGCAGCACCCCTCCCCCCGTCACCTGCCCCCGCCCTGCAGCACCCTGCCTCCCGCACCTGCCCTTGTCCTGCAGCACTCTGCCCCCCCCCCCCTCCCCCTCCCCTGCCCCTACCCTGCCCCAGAGTGTGCCACTCTGCTCCATGCCCACAGGCCGCTAGGCTATGGAAATTCCTGATCAACGTCATTGCTGACCTGCGAGTGCACACAACATGCAACTCTCAAGTTTCACCAGCTGCTGTTACTACACTGTATGCCGCTAATAGTTATTCGCCACACTTCAACAACTCTCAGCTTCCGTTGCAACATTAAGTAGCGTCTCAAGGGACCACCTCGGCCTCTAGCCGAGTCTCACGCGAACCGTGACATTTTTTTAATCTTTTTGTGACCACCTAGGGTACCCGTAACAGGACAACAAGTCTGTAGGGGCTGTCCCAGTAAAACAAAAAAATTCTTCTATTGCCACCCTGGTGTAGTCCTGCATGGTAGTGGCCTGGCATAAGCGAATACGTCTCTAATCAGTCAGGGGCATAGTTGGTCCGCCTTTTAGGGGGGGGGGGGGGGGGGGTGCACGGCCGCATTCAATGTATGCATAGGATGGCTGGTGTATGTCATTCATGGTCATGACGTGCATGCTGAACCTTGGTTAACATTTAAGGGGGGAGGGGGTGCACACGCCCCCCCCCCCCCACGTGCCCCACGCGAGCTACGCGCCTGAAGCTGTTTGTGTTTCTCAACACAATTGTGTAGCCAGTGGTAATACTGACGGGAAAACGTGTTCTTTACTGCTCCTGTGTGTTATTTTCATACCAGATTAAATCCTACCTGTCTGACGTTGCGCCTCACTTGGAGCTGTCTACAGCACCTCTTTTTGAAGCTGTCGGCAGGGCCGGGACCGAGGTTGATCTCAGATGTATCGTTGTCAGTAAGGAGACGGCTCAAGGTGCAGCTCCTATCAACGCGCAGAGAGAGGCGACTGTGAGTATATGCACGCACGGGCACGTTTGTATTGTGTGTGTGTGTGTGTGTGTGTGTGTGTGTGTGTGTGTGTGTGTGTGTGTGTGTGTGTGTGTGTGTGTGTGCGTGTGTGTGTGGGCGGGGACTGTGTTTGTACACTTGCTTACGCGTGTGCACACTGAATGTATTCTTATGTGTGTGTGTATGTGTGTGTGTATGTGTGTTTTGTTTTGTGGTAATCATTCACGATGTTCCTACAGGGACTTCCCCAGCTATCAGTTGTCTCTGTAAGCCTAGCAACGGCCGGTTGTGACGCGGAGAAAATGACCTCAACGCAGTCACGACGTGCCGATCTGGGACACCTGCTGCCAGCTTATGACGTAAGTATGCCGGGGACTGGGAGAGGGGAGAGGGTGTTAGATCAGGAGACGAGTGCGTGTTTAGGAGGGGGGGGGGGGGGGCAAGGCGACGAGTCATATTTCCCTCCATTCATACCATTTACTCTGCTTAATTTTGTGATAAGCTGAAAACTATCTGAAATTCTCACTTTCTCGCCGCAGCTGGACTCAAATTACAGGCTTTGTCCGCGAACAGCAAACCGCAGGCTCAATGCGCGGAACCAAGAGTACATAAACCCCGGAGTGTGCAGCTTGGGGCATTTTCTACGATGGGTGTCTGTCACAGCAGAATTCCGTGATTACATCATATTTGGCGCAGATCTGAGGGGGTAAATGTCGTAGTGCGTACACCTGAGCTGGAGTTGTGCAGAAAGAGACCTGCTTGAATCCTGCTTTGTACGCACTACATCACTGAGATGATGTTGTCACGGAATTCCGCCGTTACAGCAACCCATCCGAGTTGCACACTCTGGTTTTCATGTACTCTTGGCGGGACGGTGGGCTAGACCACCATTATCATAAGATACAATGTCATTGTCTGTATGCGATGTACGCCCAGCTGCTGACTCAGGATTGTGGATAGGGGCGAAGGGACGATGCATGCAACTGAGGGGATCTGTTGCAGCAACCTGAGAGTTGTTGTTTGGCCCTGTGGGTGGGGGTGGTGTTGGCCCATGTGTGCATGTTTGCACCCACGTGTACAAGTTGATGCGTATGAATTTGCTTATACTCGTATATTTGCGCACACGCACGCGCGTGCATGTGTGTGTGTGTGTGTGTGTATGTTTGTGTTTAGCCTGAGAGAACCAACGCACCGTGGATGACTCGACTCCAAAAGTCCGTGCTTCAAAACCAGCACAATGTCCCCGTCGAAGGTTAGACTTTTATGACTGCAGATAGTGTTTTGTGTGCCCCCTCTCCCCCCCCCCCCCTCCCTCTCCCCCCTAAACCACCACCCTGCCATGATGTATTTTAGCAATGGGTACTTATGCATCCCTTTCCCGCCGTTATGTTTTGCAGGGCAAGTCCACTATAACCGTACACACCTTGATACCAACTCTGCATAAAAGATCATGAACTTTGTGAGGTCATACTCATAAATGTACTGTATAACGGGTTGTACCTGCCAAGTATGGGGTAACATGCCCCGCCAAAATGTGACAGCCATCTTAGATGCATACCTCCCACTGGTATACGTTCCGGCAAGAGTACATAACCCCGAGAGTACATAACCCCAGGAGTGTGTAACTGGGTTCTGGCTGCTGTAGGCCCACTGCGCGGCGGAATTCCAACATTACGTCATGCCGCTGAGGCACAGAGGACAAAACTCCGCATTCCGCGGTGCTTGGAACCAGGGAGTAGTACAAGTGCAACGAAAGTGTACGTCATTTTTGACGTAATGTTGGATTTCCGCCGTACGGATCCCCATGTACAGAGTTGCACACTCTTGGGGTTATGGACCCTTCATACCGTAAATTGTAAATCCAGAACTTCTCCTATGGAGTGGTGATCACAATGTGATCTTGGTCATGCTTGGTCATGTGACTGCGTTTTCATGGCCACCGACTTCATGTGACCTATACTATAGATTCAATAGACCTTATGCACGTTGTACAGATGTACGAAGTTCTGTACTAGGACCGTAGGCGTGTGCAGACCCGGTTGGGTGTTCATTGTGTGCTATGCATGCACGTTCGGCCAATTTTAGCCTCGTGATTAATGGCAAACAGTCGCTTTTCCAGCTTCTCCACTTTGGCTAGAACTAATAACTAGCTAGATTTTTGTCAGAAAACGGTTTTCGTAAGGAATGCATTCAGCGCCCATTGCTTAGTGGAAATAGCAGTAAACACAATAGGGTCCAGCACATTCAACACCCAGCCGGGTCTACGGGATTCTATGAGATTTTACGGGATTTCGTGTATCTGTACAACGTGCATAAGGCTTATGGGTTGAGTGGAGTTGGAACCAACATGGCCACCGACGTCATGTGACCTATAGGTGCAATGGGTTGAGTGGAGTTGGAGCCAACATGGCCACCGACGTCATGTGACCTATAGATGCAATGGGTTGAGTGGAGTTGTAACCAACATGGCCACCGACGTCATGTGACCTATAGATGCACTGGATTGTGTGGAGTTGGAACCAACATGGCCACCGATGTCATGTGACCTATAGATGCAGTGGGTTGAGTGGAGTTGGAACCAACATGGCTGCCCCATATGGTCATGTGATAGTGATGTGCAACGGCTCTCTTACTGGTAGATTGGAAGTTTTTTGAAAGCTTTGAAATCTCCAGTGCGCAAACCAACAGCCTTTTGAAGGTCTTTGTTTAAAAAAAGTTTGTATGTTGCATGTACGGCTGATCTCTGAAATGAACTTCATTGCAAGTACAAACAGTCATGATGCACTGTCTAGGCTGATTGTTCCTGTTAATTAACGAGTGATCGTGGCCGTACCAAGTATACTGTAGTGTCGCGTATACAAGCATGACGTGAAGAGAGGCAGGACGTGAAGAAAGGCATGACTCAAGTAGAAGCCGATTTTTTTAGGCTCGCCGTCACACACAGAAGCACGATTTGAATAGAAGCAGCTTTCTGCAATATACACGTTTAAGTACTTGCACAGTGTATGAGTGCCAGTATGCACTGTACAGTGTATGAGTGCCAGTATGCACTGTACAGTGTATGAGTGCCAGTATGCACTGCACAGTGTATGAGTGCCAGTATGCACTGTGCAGTGTATGAGTGCCAGTATGCACTGCACAGTGTATGAGTGCCAGTATGCACTGTGCAGTGTATGAGTGCCAGTATGCACTGTACAGTGTATGAGTGACAATATGTACTGTACAGTGTATGAGTGCCAGTATGCACTGCACAGTGTATGAGTGCCAGTATGCACTGTGCAGTGTATGAGTGCCAGTATGCACTGCACAGTGTATGAGTGCCAGTATGCACTGTACAGTGTATGAGTGCCAGTATGCACTGTACAGTGTATGAGTGCCAGTATGCACTGTACAGTGTATGAGTGCCAGTAGGCACTGTACAGTGTACACTGATGAGGTTGACGTAGAAGCATGTTTTAAATGGAAGCATGGTTTGAACCCCGGCTTATACGGCCGTAAGTATAGGAGTGGCATTATTTGATAGAAATTGGTGCCCCATGTGTGTGTGTGTGTGTGTGTGTGTGTGTGTGTGTGTGTGTGTGTGCGTGTGTATGTGCATGTGTATGTGTATGTGCCTGTATTTTTTGTATTGTATATTATTATTTTACTTGGGCATTCCCAACAGACCCTAAGGTCTTCTTACAGGGTGCCCAAGATGAATGAATTTGTTAAGTTCCTGGCGAAATGAATTGGGGATATGGTTTGCGCGAAGGGCTTCGGGAAGCGCATTAAAGCGGTCAGCACCAATGAATGAAATAGATTTGTAACCAGCTTGAGCTTGCACAATGGGTAAAGAAAGGGAATTATTGCCTTGGCCACGGGTGACTCTATCTGTGTGAGCGCAGTCACGGCGAAGGGAGAACATGTCAGAGAGGAATGAACTGCAGAGATTGTGGATGCAACGGAACACGAAGAATATAGACTTAGTATATCTTTGTCTAAGCTGATTATGTGGTACCTCTCAAGCAAGTATGATGTCCGCGTGTGGATGTGTCATGCTCGAATATGCATCTAAGTGCTCTCTTACTTATGCGTAGCAGCTGATCTCTCACGTTGTCAGTGAGACAGTGTACGTAACCAGTGCTGGCGTACTGGCGCTTGCTCTGGCCTACTGACAAATAGAACTGCCTTCTGGCCTGGATAGCAAGGTTCCTCCTTCCACGTCGAAAAGCACCTAGTTTCTTTCCGATATCTTCCCTGAGCGAATTAACGTGGACCCTGAAACTTAAAGTTGAGTCGAGAGTCAGTCCCAGATACTTAACTTTGTCAGACGGGGCAATAACAGTCGAACCACAGACAATGCTCAGGTTAGGTGGAGGATGTGAGCGTCTGCCGTGGATCAGTAGTACTTGGCTCTTGCTGGAGTTCAGGAGCAGGCCGCGATCTGCGAGGTGCTGCTTCACCACTGAAAAATCTTCTTCTAAGTAAGACATGAGAATTCGTGGACACTTTCCAGAGGCATTCAGGGTGGTGTCGTCTGCATAAAGAAGGCATTTGGAACGCAATGGCAGAGTGGGGACAAGTCGGGTGTAGATGCTGAAGAGGGTAGGGCTTGGGACGGAAACCTGGGGGACGCCCCTAGTGCAGGTTCTACAGTCACTTGTGGTTCCGCTCACTTCTACGCGTTGCTGTCGGTGAGACGGCCTTGTCTTTGTGGTACACTTTTCAGTTTGCGGTTCGGTAAAGTTCCTTGACGACGTATTGCACGATACTGCTGTCTGAGGCGGTCATCCAGAGGGTGCTTTATTGAGGCGCGATGGGCTGAGCTTTGTCGATGACACATCTGTTTCAGCTCTGGGGTGACCCAGGGCTGGGGGCGGGGTTTGGAGTAAGCTGCGCGCTTCTGGGTGACGAATGGTGTAAGATCATCTAGTACTGTCATGACGCATTGTTGCCAGTGGCTTGCCGCTGCATTTAGAGTATAACCGCCGGATACATCTGAGGGGTCAAGGATGTGTGTGAGAGCTGCAGACGTTACACTACGGTCAAGGTGAGCCAGGCTAGGTTTGAGTCTTGGAGAGAATTGCTCGTGTGGCTGTTCAAAGTTGGCTCTACTACCACGGACAGAGAGGCCAATAAGATGGTAGTCGGACAGGCCATCGACGCTGTGAACAAATGTACTATGAAGAGACATGGGAGAGGGAGACGGAGCAGTCGTTGTCATTGTTGTCGGTATGAGTGCAAGGTCTAGGCATGACTGACTAGGAACTCTGGTGGGCTGTAGTATGACGTTTTGTAAGCTGTGGTCAGCGCAGAGGCCTTGTACATAGCGGACGTTCGGGTGAGGTGGGACAGAGAGCATGTTGACATTGCAGTCACCGAGGAGGAGGATGTCCGGACATGTTGCGGAGGCCATCTGCACGCTATTATCGAGGTCCTCCCAGAAATCCACATGGCTGTCGGGAGCACGGTATACGCAGCCGATGGTTAGAAATGGGTTCGTTCAGCTATGGGTGTGCAACCCAACGAAGATGGTCTCTAGTCGGTCGTTTACTTGAAGTTGCCTGGATTTCAGTTGTTCCTGCACGTACATAGCAACGCCAGCACCCTTCCTGTGATCAGCTCGGTCCCGGCGATAGAGAGTGTAGGCTGGTATATAGTGGTGAAACGAATATTCGAATATTCGAACATTCGTTCGGTTTGTCACATTCGAATATTCGTTACGTCACATTCAAGTATTCGTTACGTCACTTCGAATGCAGTGCATGTACATACATGCACGCCGAACACGGTACAGTGCAGTAGGTACAGCCTGCCTGTGACTTTGTACTGCATGCATGCACATGTATGTCCATACTGGACTGTCAATGTTGCACATAACAGGTATGAACTTCGAAGTACCCTTATGTGGCAGTACATTTTACGTGGCACTACCGTTTGTCATACCTAATAATAAATTAGTATTGACAATATCCATCAAATGACTGAGAGGAGGGCATGTGATGTCATCTGTGTCACCAAAAGAATATTCGTTCATTCGTTCGTTAAGCTGAAGAATATTCGACTAGTAGGTTTTGACATTCGTTTCACCACTACTGGTATAGCAAGATCGCAATTCATCACAGTAGAGTCCAAGCATGTTTCACTGATTGCTAGCACATCAATTCTGTACTTGTACATTATGCAATGGATTTCATGAGTTTTATTTCTTAGGCTACAAATGTTGATGTGGGCGATGGGTTAAGCTCTTGATGGGTGAAGACGGACAATCAGGCACTGTTTGACTGAAGGGATAGTTGCAAGGATGTCTTACAATGGTAGATTCTGGGTCAGCGACGACATCTGTTGCTCGGAGATGAGGTGAAGTAGCTGAGAGGGAGTGTTGCTGGTGATTACTTGGACACCCTGATGCAACCTATTGTGTTGCTAGTAGGGCTGCAAGGAATATTCGATTGATATTCGATTGATATTCGTTTGGAACCCGATAGAAGGAATGTTTTCCCCTTTAGAATATTCGTTCGTTTTGACACGTTCGCACACTCTGCTCTTGTGTAGATCTATTGTAGTAATTCTAGAACGGATGGAGTGATATGTACATGAGTTATGTGTTGAGAAAGGAGAATATGACTCACAAGAGTGGTGGGCATGACTCCACTAGACATCTACCTGGTCTAGAACAACCTGGGACTAGCCAAACACTTTCTAAGATTCTTTTGGTATCGAATATTCGATTCATTTACAAAAAAATTCATTTTCGTTCCTATTTAAATGATTTGTTTCATCCTCAGAAATAATTGAGCATTCTGAGAGAATATTCGTAATTCGTTCGTTACGGATGAGTATTCGTTCGTTTGTGAAATAGAATATTCGTTGCAGCCCTAGAACTTGCTAGCTCATCGATTTCAATTGCACTGTATAGGGTGCCATCTGCCATCATCTCCTGCGACCTGGTAAGGGTAATAGTATAAAATAATGTAATATCACAAATTTTCTGTGTACCTCTAGTTTAAGTACTTTTAAAAGACCTCTTCGCCCTCTCTACCTCCTCTGCTATGACCTCGGCACGCTGCGTTGCACAGTGGCTCCCAGCTGTCTGCCACGCGTTTCCACGTGGTGCATTACCTTGCACCGCACTCCTGGTACGGTGCGCAGGGTCATTATCTCGAGTTCGGAAAGTCCTTTCCATCTCCTCCACTCTCGCTTCAAACTTCGTCAACTTCTCTCTCTCAAAGAGCGATTTTCCGCCATTACACTTTCTAGCTTCAGGGAGATTTCTTGAAAGATGCTGTTTACTCTCATACTCATATCCTTCTGCTCCCGCAATATCTCGTTTAACGTGCCATCCTGTTCCGCCTGGCTCCCGTCATAACAGGTGTTGTCAATTTGCTGTCGCAGGCCGTCAGGAGGCGAGCGATCCGCCGCGGGAGACTTTCTGCTCAACCTCTCAGGAGTTTGGCGAAGAGAAGACGACTTCACACCTGTAACTGCTACTGGCAGCCTACTTGGCTGACTGGCTGGCATGCTGGGGGAGAACAACTTTGACCAGAGCTCCAAAACCTGCAACCAGTTCCTACGTCACAAAACAAGTTGGTGGCTTCACATCAAGATGGATGCAGCATCCCGCAGCAAGTCTAGTTGCTCATTATCATGCCACAGAGTGCTGGACAGCTGGCCAAGTGTGCCTTCTGCGAAATAATCCATTTCGAATCCTTCACAACTGATTAACTTGTACGATGAGCCGAGCCAAGCTAAAAGGTGGCTGAGGCATAATTTTTGGAAATTTCTTTTTTCATACCAAAGTGATGTCTATATATCCAACTTCCATCAAGGAAATGTTGGTGCCTATCTGAAATGTATGTGTGCCATAAATAAGCATACATTGCGCACATGTCACAGCCTGCCTGGTATCAATGAAACTAAGGATTCCAAGACCTTCCCAAAATGCAAGAAAACATGGGACACCAAGTGGAGACAAAGCTAAGCAGGTGTGCAAGCAATGCAAGAAGAATGAGCACTTGTGTTCTAATTAGAAGATACAAGGAAGAAGAAATAACATATCTACTTCTCATGTCAAAGTTTATCACGCAATACACGCAATTTTCATATCCTTCAATGATGTGACTATGTTTTCGCTGGGCTGGGAAACGTCGCATCTCACCAAGACAGTCCGTCATACTCTCTCCAATCACCTATGCCAGGATGAATTAATCCTTTCATGTAGCTCCTAGTGATGTGCCAGAGATCTAGCTCGATTGGTGTATTGCCCTTGCAGCTACATATAGGTCCAGTAGACTGCACATCGCTAACAAGCGACACTGGTTCTTTGTCCGTCCTAGCCCATGTCATTCTCCTTCCCTGCCAAGTATACTGGTCACAGTGGTGGAAGGCGCCACGGGACAATATGCTAGCAGGTAGTGTCAATCCATCGCTTCGTCGTGTGGCACTATTTCCTTGAAACGAGGAAATTTTGTAATCCAGTACGCCACGTCATGAACACTAAGTTGAAGGTAGCCGAAACAAAGTGAAACATCGCAGCAAGAGCCAACTCACCAGGCAGCTTGTCAGAATGATAGTCGGAAGGCTTGTAGACGTCTCCCCATAGCTATACTCACCGCTCTAGTCGTGGCCACGATAAGAAACACAGCCACTATGAATGAGTGAGTCTTCCTCGTCAAGTAGGTTTGGGCGCACACGGAGCCAGAATGTCATCCTGCTCACCTCCACATCCTCTTGAACGCTCCATTACGATCTCTGGCAGCGCTGAGAAATCCCCACAACGATGAAAGAGGGAACACTGAAGAAGTGTTGCTCAAAAATAAAAGGCCTCTTTCTTCTTCTCCGCTTGCAACTTTGAAAGTGAATAATTTTCTCGATTGCGCTCGAGTAGAATTTTGCCAACTGTGACGTTTTGGTGATTTTCTCAGATTTGTTGGCAAAACGCTAAGCCACTTTTTAGCTTGGCGCGGCTTATATGTGTCGGTGCATGTATGTATGTGTGTATGTATGTGTGTGTATGTATGTGTGTGTATGTATGTGTGTGTGTATGTATGTGTGTGTCTGTGCATGTACAGAGATAGCTGGTTTCATGGGCGACACATCCATCAATGTCAAGTTGCCACCACCGGAGCAGCTGCAAAAGACGGCGTATGTCATCGGTCTGACCGGAGGTATCGCTAGCGGCAAGTCTACTGTTTCTGCAAAGCTCAAGGAAATGGGCGCGGCCATTATCTCCTGCGACCTGGTAAGGGTAATAGTTCAAAGTACTGGAATTTCACAAATTTTCTGTGGACCTCTAGTTTAAGTACTTTCGATGCATGTCTTTCATGCCTGAAATTTCAATCGCCGCACGAACACGAACACAATATCAAATACGGAACGGCTTCTAACCTAAAATTCCTGTTAACCTTAACCTGGTGTTTTGCTCTCATACCTAAAATATTGAGCATCTAAAATTTCTGAAATCAGAGTATTCATCAGTCAGAGTCAATGTCTGTAACGAGCAAGTGTCACCGGACATGGCCGAATTTCCGACTTCGCTCAAAGTTGGCTCTGTTTATCCCTGTGTGGATCTCATTCAGCCGTTATGACGCTTTGAGGAAAATTGGAAATTTTGGCCATGTCCGGTGATAGTTGGTCGTTGCAGACGTTAACTCTTAGGCAGGGGCGTCGCACATGGTACGGTCACTACGGTATTGACCGTACCACTCTTTGCGCCAAGTACTCCATGAATTAATAAAAATGCACTGATTGGGCTCTGAATTTCCGAAATTTTCGGCTCAGCCATTCCTCCACCACAAGTAAATTGTACTTCAGATGGCTGATCGTACCACACTTAATTACCTTCCGCCGCCCCTGCTCTTAGGGCTGGTGAGAAGTTGAAAAGTCTGAAGAGAAGCTGACTGTCACCACAGAACACAAGCCTGATGCAATACTGTTAGGCAACAGATATTCGGCGCTTATTTGTTTTAGGCTATTTTCGGCCTGGTCATGTTTGGCCGAAAATTTCTTGCGGCCGAAATTTTTGTTTTTCAATGTTCAGTGTGACAGTGTATACAGACGGCAGCAGTACAGGCCGAAAATGTGATGCGGCCGAAATGTGTGTTTAGCCCTGGGAGGGCGGAATTTGAATGTGCCGAAAATCTGCAGACTTACAGTAGCTGTAAGCTGCGGTGCAGTCATATATGGCCTTGTTTTGGAGACTGACTTTGTTTTCTTTCAAGTATGCCCCCCGTCAACTACACTCTATGGCATCAACCTTTGACATTGAAGTGGACGGTGTGAGGACGAACACTGTGCTAGATGCGTTGCTATGGTGCCTTCAGGGGGTTGATAAAGTAGTATGTCACCGGCTCTTTGAGTGACGCTGGCCTCTTATCCTGGACTGAATGCTTTGACCTGTGCCTGCTGTGGTGGCGATGAGCTTTTGGAAGCCATTGTGCTAGTGCTTAGAGTTCAGTTTGGCAACCACACGTCGCTGCATTTCCGTTAGTCCGCTGGAGTTTTGGCGGTGCTGTGACGTGTCCTGTCGGCGCGTGCATGTGTCCTGATGTGTTCGTATGTCTACATGCGTGTATGTGTGTACATGTGTATGCATGCGTACGTGTGTGTGTGCATGCGTATGTGTATGTGTGCATGCGTATGTGTATGCGTGCATATGTGTGTGCATGTGGATGTGTGTGTGTGCATGCGTGCCGCGGTGCGTGCATGTACATGTGTGTTTCCTGGTGGTTGTGTCGCTGTGTTGCACTGCCTAGCTGGCCCATCAAGCATACATGCCCGGAACGGAGTGCTATGGGCGTATCCTATCAGGGTTTGGAGAAGGTAGGTCCAGTACAGGTAAACCTACCCTCACCCTGACCGTTAGCCCTTGGTCCAGTACAGGTAAACCAGGCTACTCTCACCGTTAGCCCTTGGTCCAGTACAGGTAAACCAGGCTACTCTCACCGTTAGCCCTTGGTCCAGTACAGGTAAACCAGGCTACTCTCACCGTTAGCCCTTGGTCCAGTACAGGTAAACCAGGCTACTCTCACCGTTAGCCCTTGGTCCAGTACAGGTAAACCTACCCTCACCCTGACCGTTAGCCCTTGGTCCAGTACAGGTAAACCAGGCTACCCTCACCGTTAGCCCTTGGTCCAGTACAGGTAAACCAGGCTACCCTCACCGTTAGCCCTTGGTCCAGTACAGGTAAACCAGGCTACTCTCACCGTTAGCCCTTGGTCCAGTACAGGTAAACCAGGCTACTCTCACCGTTAGCCCTTGGTCCAGTACAGGTAAACCTACCCTCACCGTTAGCCCTTGGTCCAGTACAGGTAAACCAGGCTACCCTCACCGTTAGCCCTTGGTCCAGTACAGGTAAACCAGGCTACCCTCACCGTTAGCCCTTGGTCCAGTACAGGTAAACCAGGCTACCCTCACCGTTAGCCCTTGGTCCAGTACAGGTAAACCAGGCTACCCTCACCGTTAGCCCTTGGTCCAGTACAGGTAAACCTACCCTCACCGTTAGCCCTTGGTCCAGTACAGGTAAACCAGGCTACTCTCACCGTTAGCCCTTGGTCCAGTACAGGTAAACCAGGCTACCCTCACCGTTAGCCCTTGGTCCAGTACAGGTAAACCAGGCTACCCTCACCGTTAGCCCTTGGTCCAGTACAGGTAAACCAGGCTACTCTCACCGTTAGCCCTTGGTCCAGTACAGGTAAACCAGGCTACTCTCACCGTTAGCCCTTGGTCCAGTACAGGTAAACCTACCCTCACCGTTAGCCCTTGGTCCAGTACAGGTAAACCAGGCTACCCTCACCGTTAGCCCTTGGTCCAGTACAGGTAAACCAGGCTACCCTCACCGTTAGCCCTTGGTCCAGTACAGGTAAACCAGGCTACCCTCACCGTTAGCCCTTGGTCCAGTACAGGTAAACCAGGCTACCCTCACCGTTAGCCCTTGGTCCAGTACAGGTAAACCAGGCTACTCTCACCGTTAGCCCTTGGTCCAGTACAGGTAAACCAGGCTACCCTCACCGTTAGCCCTTGGTCCAGTACAGGTAAACCAGGCTACCCTCACCGTTAGCCCTTGGTCCAGTACAGGTAAACCAGGCTACCCTCACCGTTAGCCCTTGGTCCAGTACAGGTAAACCAGGCTACCCTCACCGTTAGCCCTTGGTCCAGTACAGGTAAACCTACCCTCACCCTGACCGTTAGCCCGTTGTGCAGCGGAAACTGTCCCGATATGACAGGACTCCGCTTGATCCAGGGATGCACATTTCATCTCCTGTTTTTTATTAATTTTGTATCACTGGTGTTGACTCGTGCTTGCATGTGACTCTTTGCTCGGAACTACTGAAAAGTCCACAAATTTTCGGCCCATTCGAATTTCGGCCTCCCAGGGCTAAAACCCATTTTGGCCGCATCAAATGTTCGGCCTGTACTGCTGCCGCCTGTATACACTGTCACACTGAACCTTGCAAAACAAAATTTCGGCCGCAACATGACTAGGCCGAAAATTGCCGAAATATACAGTAAAACCTGTCAGGGCGACCGCCTGTCCCAGAGGACCACTACAACCAGGACCAAGGGATGCAATTTTCAGTCAAATCACCCTGGATTAGGAGACCAGCTGGTAACAGAGACCACGTTTTGAAAGTCCCTTGAGCGGTCATCTTAGACTGGTTTCACTGTATGCGAAAAGAATAGAATGGGATACGGAGCTTGGGTTGGCTGTGACTCAGAGTTTCACGCCCATGGCGATCATCAGACAGCAATGATTACAAAAACTCAATGAATGTTCTTGATAATAGTGTGGTAAGGTGCTAGTGGAATCAGAGGATTTAAGCGCAAATAAGGTCAAGCGGTGATTCTATGCATGTACTTGCAAGATTAGCGCCAGACATCAGGTGTAATCCTGGTTTATGTAACTGGAGGTGTGAAGTTAGATAGGTAGAATTTGTTCCCATGTCTGCACTTGGCCACTAGCTCCGATCGCTTGTTGATGTTCACCCTCAGTCCACACCCAACTTTCCATGTTTCGCTGTGTATGCTGAAGTACGGGTCACGCTGAATATGAACTGTTGTTTGACTGACAGTAGATTGCATGGCCGGTACGACGTGTGCTAGTGTTTGATAACTTTGTTTTGATTGCCCAAGAGCACTCTCGTTCTCGGCACTTGTGCCAGTGGTTGTGAGACTTATCCACTCACCCCCGCCGTTAGGCGCTGCATTTGCCGCTAGGGTTTACCGGGTGTTAGCGGCCGTCGTGAGTTCCCTTCGGGAACGGACACGATAATTTACTTTTTACTTTTTTTTAAGCGCACTCTCAGTTCAGGAACTGTGTAAGGAGTCACGCTTCTTGTGCATGACTCGTTGTGTCTACTTCATTGTTGGCTGTTTTGTACGTGTGTGTGTGTGTGCGTGCTCGCGCGTGTGTGCACGTTGCATTCTGATAGGCGTTGTCAACGACGATGGCACCATCAACCGTCAGTATTTGTCGGACATTGTCTTCAAAGCACCGGTGAGTTGAAATTGAGGAGGATGAACCTGGGGAGTGTGAGAGAGAGGGACAGGCATATTGTCCTGGGGAGTGTGTATGAGAGAGAGGGGGGGGGGGGGGGGGAGGACAGGTGCATGGACCTGGCAAAGTATGACGACACAATGCTCACTACACAGCCGTTGTAAGCTTGCACCTCTATTTATTTTATTTATTTATTTATTTATTGTATTTATTTATTTATTTCTGCACCTCATGGCATCTAGTGCTAGAATGTTGCAGCCATATAGCACTATTCTCATTGTGAGATAGTCCAGTCACCCCCCCCCCTTCCCCTCCTCCCCTGCCCCTCCCCTACCCCTCCCTCTGCCCTACTCCCCTGTCCCCTTCTCACCTGCCCCTCCTCTCTGCCCATTCTACCCCTGCTCCCTCCGTTCCCCAACCTCGCCGCTGCAGCTCTCATGAATGACTGTGTGCAATTTCAATGCAAATCTCTACAGTCAACTCACATGTGCGCATGCGTGTCTGTGTACGTGTGCGTGTGTGTACGCCTGTGCACGTGTGTGTGTGTGTGTTTGTACACGTGTGTGTATCCGTGTGTATCTGTACATACAACATATCCATGCGCGCACGCACACACACACGCACACACACACACACACACACACACACACACACGCATGCACATGCACACCATATACAGGCTCAGCTGGCCACACTGAACCGTATCGTGTGGCCGACAGTGGCCAAGATGATCAACGACATCATGATCCACCACATGATGGAGGGCACACGTCTTGTCGTGGTGGAGAGCGCATTGTTACGTGAAGCCGGTATGGACCTACTGGTTGATGAAGTCTGGACTATGATGGTACCAGCAGAGGAGGTACGTAGCAGGGCTCCTGGGAGCGTAATGTAATTGCCGATTGCCAGGATCACTAAGTGTCGTAATGGCTGGCCTTTGCTTTCCTCCCTGTGCCATTCTTTCCATTTCTTCCTTTTTTCTCCCCTCCCCCCCCCCCCCATGGCTGGGTATTACCCTCATCTCTGGCCAGGTTGCTCCCCACGTTAGCGTTGCTATGCCTATGCTATGAGATTGAGGTAAATAAATTAAATTAAATAATAAGTAATCCATGTGTCCACGTTGTAAAACCGGGCGGGGGGGGGGAGGGTACTCCACTCATCTAGGTGCAGGAGTGTTGCAATTACGTCACTTCGGACGCTATGAAGTAGCCAGCCAGGAATTAGATGGGGAGGGGGTGGGGTGAGGGGTGTCCCTTGGCAGCAAGACTCGTTTCCATCATCTTGACTGTACTGGGTGTGTGTATGTGCACTTGCGTGCTTGTATGCGTGTGTGTGTGTGTGTGTGTGTTTGTGTGTGTATGTGTGTGTGTCTGTGTGTCTGTGTGTCTGTGTGTGTGTCTGTGTGTCTGTGTGTCTGTGTGTGTGTATGTGTGTGTGTCTGTGTGTCTGTGTGTCTGTGTGTGCCAGCACATATTGCTATGTATTACACATAGCCGTTCGCTATCATCGCTTTCGCAATGGACAGGTCTAAGGTCTGAGATATGTGTGTGTGTGCGCGCATGTCCGTGTTTGTGCGTGTGTGTGTATGTGTGTACGTACATGTATGTGTGTGTATGTGTGTGTGCAGGCAGTGCGTCGTCTTCAGAACAACAACTTATCATCAGCCCAGGCCATGGCCAGGCTGTCAGCTCAGGCTACTAACATGCAGCGTATGAACTACACTACGCTGGCTATCAACTCACGCTGGAACAAAGAGGATATGTTTAGAAATCAGGTGAGTCTCAAGGGTAGGTTGACATGGAGAAATAAACACTGGGAAAGGGGAAGGGGGGGGGGGGAGTGTGGGAGTGAGCGAGTCGGTGGGTGAGTGGGTGTGTGGGTGTGTGGAACTATGGATTGATGTGTGGGGTGTGGGTGGGTGTGGGGGGGGGGGGGGGATGGATGGATGGATGGATGAGTGGATGAGTGGAGGTGTGGGAGCGTGGGTGGGTAGTTTCCCTGGGTGGTATGTGGGTGAGAGGGTGAGTGAGTGTATGGGGGCCCCTGAGGGGGGGTTGAGGATACTGGTGGGGCAGAGGGCGGCATGTCACCACTATGATTCTAAAGAAAGCATTTTGATCTCTGTGCTGTTACTTCACTGGATTGGTATGCTGCTACTGCTGTTGCTGCTGTTGCTGCTGCTGGTGTTGCTGCTGCTGTTGCTGCTGTTGCTGCTGCTGCTGCTGCTGCGACCATCGCTGTTGTTGCTCCTGCTACTGCTGCTGTTGCTGCTGCTGAATCTGTTTTCTCTCTCTCCTCTGTCTCTTTGTTCAGTTGTTACCTGCATGGGAAGGTCTCATGGTCAGGATGAAGTGTTTCAAACTCGCCACCATTGGCCGTTCGTTTCAGGACAGGTGTGTTGTCTTGCTTGCTGTCGGGTTGCCAGTGTGTTGCAGTAGATAGTACTCACGCTAGCTGCTATGTCCTAGCGTTCTATGCCCTAATCCGGGCATGCATGTCTACCGGGCACCTTGCTAACCCCACTACAGTCACAAACTTGGTTTTCAACGAAAATGGCCCCAAAACCGATTGACTGGCAAAAAAGGTTTGCTTGCATGCAGGAAGTATGCGTGTATGCTCTGAGTTGCAGGCAATTCCTATTTTCGGGTGCAGAAGCCTGGATTGCTACAAGCAAAACTATGTTTATGTGCAGGTTCTAGCCAAGGGAGGAGGGGGGGGGGGGGGCACAGACCCCCCCCTTAATCTGATGATGCCCTCCCCTACTCTGATGGTGCCCTCGCCTCCCTACTCTGTTGGTGCTCCCCCCCCCCCCCCTACACTGATGGTGCCCTCCCCCCCCCCCCCCCCCCTACTCGAATGGTGCCCTCCTCCCCCCCCCCCCCACACACACTCTGATGGTGCATCCCCCTACTCTAATGGTGCCCTCCCCTCGCCCTACTCGAATGGTGCCCTCCTCCCCCCCCCCCCCACTCTAATGGTGCCTCACCCTGCTCTAATGGTGCCCTCTCCTCGCCCTACTCGAATGGTGCCCTCCCCCCCCCCCCCCTACTCTGATGGTGCCCCTACTCTAATGGTGCCCCCCCCTACTCTGATGGTGCCCCCTCCCCCCCCCCCCCCGCCCTCCCTACTCTTATCTTGCCCCCCCCCCTTCTCTAATGTTGCCCTCCCCCTCCCCCTACTCTAATGTTGCCCTCTCCTCCCCCTACTCTAATGGTCCCCCCCCCCTTACTCTGATGGTGCACCACACAGCTTGCCATGGGGTCACTGCATCCATTACCCTCCTTTGGTTAGAACCCTGTACACCCCTGTACATCCCTGTACATCCCTGTACATCCCTGTACATCCCTATGAAAGATGCATTGTGCACATGGTAGCACGAAAGACTACACCAATGTTCATTTCTCGTTGGCTGAACGCAGTGAAATAAACGAGAAATAATGTTCTTTGTAGATTTTTGCACGTGGTTATCGATGGGTGCGAGGGCACAGCAGCTGCTGAAAAAGCGCGCTGGCGCAGAGTGCTGGTTCATTATTTTTCTTCTTGCCAGACAGAAAGTGTGCAGTACGCCTGCACACCCCCGCATTTCGTTGTGTGTGCAGTGGTAGATGATGTGCATGAGCAAAATAGACAATGAATTATTCTTGTTTTTCGATTTCGACGGCATGTTACAAGCCGCGGACGGACAGTGCTCCTGACTACGACCATAACCCGAAATCGAAACATGCCAATCTATCAAGCACGGCTTCTATCTATACCAATAATATTCTTGTCCGTAGCATTTTTGTGACAAGGCAATAGTGGAACATGGAAAAAATGGGCGAACTGTTTGTTTCCCCTAGCCCGCTTCCCTGCAATCTTCTGTCCAGGCTAGAGCCGTGATGTGTGTTGCATGGCCGGAAAGTGATGTGTCTGGCCGGCTTCACCAAAGTGCCATTCCTACCCAGTGTCTAGGGTAGCTAATGCAGAAACGTTTTTTTTATTTACTTTGCGTGTGTGCACGTTCAATTTGCAGGTTTCTGAGGGTCTGCAAATCATGCGGTGTGTCTCTTGCCATAGCCAGGGAGTTCTACACAACATTGAGCACATATCACTCAGCTGTTGATGAGTAAGGACTTCAATGTGTTGGCTGCGTTCTATTTGCACCCTTCTTGTTCTGGATTAGTAATCCTTTCCCCGAATATGCATTCTGGACGTAGGTGTCGGTTGGCAACTGAAAAAGTACTCGTCTTTTGTCAGCGCAAATCACCATTAACCCGACTGCTGCATGGACGATAAGTGCTGTGAATAGTGATCTGATCATGCACCCTGATTGGCTCACCTGGCTAGCATGGCTCATTGAACGTCAGCCCAGCTCGGCAACGTTATGTTACCGGCACAACCTAGTCACAACACACGCGTGTGGTTGAGTTTGGCCGTCAGGAGGCCAGCGCAAGGTATCCGGGGCGTGGGTCTGATTCCAGCGAGGGGCAATGTGGTACCCCGTGACACATGGGTACGCAAAAGGGTACGCTGCAGCGCAATCAGCAAGAGAAAGAGGGGCGGATGAGCGGGCGCGCAAGGGTATATGGGTGCGCGCGCGCGATGGTGTGTGTGTGTGCGTGCCCACGTGGGCGTGTGTATGAGTGAGTGTGTGTGTTGTGTGTGTGTATGGGTGTGTGTGTGTGTGTAACGTTATGTGTGTGTAACGTTATGTGTGTGTGCACGTGTATGTGAGTGTGCACGTGTATGTGAGTGTACATGTGTGTTTGTGTGTGCGTGTGTCTGTGTGCACGTGTGTGTGTGTGTGTGTGTGTGTGTGTGTGTGTGTGTGTGTGTGTGTGTGTGTGTGTGTGTGTGTGTGTGTGTGTGTGTGTGTGTGTGTGCGTATGTGTGAGTGTGCACGTGCATAAGCATGTGCATGTGCATAAGTGTGTGAGTGCCGGTGTGTCTGTGTGAATACTTTTCTTTGTGTACGTTGTGTACGGTGTGGTGTTGTTCTCTGACAGGCGTTGGAGTGGAGAGGACTCTGTCAAGCACAAACTAGACCAGTGTGACTACCTCTTACCATATTTAGCTGTAAGTCCACCTAACTCTTACCATATTTAGCTTTAAGTCAACATACCTCTTACCATATTTAGCTGTAAGTCAACATACCTCTTACCATATTTAGCTGTAAGTCCACTCTTACCAAGAGTGGATAAGCAAGAGTGTGCAACCCATGGATTGGTTGATCCAGGGTGGAATTTTTTGTTGGCGTAAAGCCACACGTTTTTATTTCTATGTTTCTCGTCACCTGAAAATCTAAAAACGTATGCGAGAGGTGGAAAAAAAATAAAAATGACCAAAAATTAAAAAAAAGTTTACTAGACCTTTGTTCACACTAAAACCCACCAATACACCATGCAAAATAGTTAGCAACTAGTATGTGGTAGGAGCTTCTATCACAATCTGTGCATGTGCAGCTAGATTGCCCACAAAAATGCCGACCTCGCATCATGTGTCGCGCAGGCCAGGCCACATTATGTACATGTGCATGAGTGTACTGGTCCCCACATGCACAGTCAGTGCAGCACAGTTTTTTTTCTTTTTTTCTTCCAGACTCCTGAATCGTATGCGCGCGGGTGACGAGAAACATAGAAATAAAAACGTGTGGCCTAATCTTTTCTACGACGCACGTGCAACGAGTCTTTTGGGAAGTTTTGCCTCGTGCACTTGGCCGGGCTTTACATGACAAGGTCGGTGCCCGGCACGTGCTCTCAGACTGCTCTGCGGCAAAATTCACGTGCTCTGTCATGTTTTCCGAAAACGGTGACAACAACAAAAATTCCGCCGTGGGCCGGTTATCTACAGATTGTGCAGAGGAGATGCACACCTTTGTTTATCCTCTATTATTGATCTTTGATCCGCGCGGATGGGTAGGCCCACGGCGGAATTTTTTGTTGACGTAATCTTTTCGACGACCCACGCGCTGCTAGCCTTTTGGAAAGTTTTGCCTCGTGCACTTGGCCGGGCTTTACATTACAAGGTCGGCGCCCAGCACGTGCTCTCACACTGCTCTGCGGCAAGAAGCGCGTTTTTCTGAAAAAAGGTGACGTCAACAAAAAATTCCGCCGTGGGCATCTCTCTGGAGATTGTGCAGGAGAGATCTGGAGTTGCACACTCTTGTTTATCTACTCTTGCTCTTACCTATTATTTTGCTTTATACCATGGTACGGTACGGAGGGCCTGTTTTCAGCCAATCAGCGCTCGTCTAGCCATGGTTATATTGGCCAGTATAAATCCCGCGCGGGATTTATATAGAATATAAATCCCGGTGCACGGTACGTACGCTAGGGCACTGCCACCGTACAAGTTCACTGCCTGAAAGGCAGTGAACTTGTACGGCGGCAGTACTCCAGCGCACGGACCATACATAAACAGACACAACGGACACCACATGCGCGTGTACACTCCACACAGAAAGGCACACTGACGAGGAACAGTACACAATGGAAAAGAAGAATGACCTGGAATTCGTCTACAGAGTATTCTGTTATACTGAATCTGAGGATAAAGAACGTCGAATAACCACGAAGTATCCCGAATGGGTCAGCAATGTACATTGTACTTCGAAGAGTTGAAGATCATCAACGGACTGTCTCCTTCGTAAATAAGTTTATAATACCAGTGTACATGTACTTCAACCCGATTGGAAAAGGCTACAATAGATTGGATTGAAATGTGATACAAAACAGTGTATGCAAATGCATCTACTTGCAAGCAA